GAAAGGTCTCAGGTTTGATTCTGGTCAAGGGCATGTACCTTGGTTGCGGGCACGTCCCCAGTGGTGGGTGTGCAGGAGGCAGCTGATCAATGATTCTCTCTCATCAATGTTTCTGACTCTCTATCCCTATCTCTTCCTCTCTGTAAAAAAATCAATAAAATATTAAAAAAAAAAAAAAAGAAAGAAATCAATGGGTCCCCATTTCAGAAATTATTGGCATTACTTGGTGGGTAGAGATGTCTGTAACTAACCCCCATCCTTGTGTCCTGGATGCTTGTGGGAAGCCCTATGGAATACCCAAACTCTAGCTCGTTTGGGGTCACCTCCACCCGTTTAACTATGGCATGGGAAACTCAACATTTTTGGGTCCACTCAGTATACCCTAACTGCTCCCAAGCCATAGCTACCCAATGGCAACAACATTCCTAGTGGATCCAACAACATTGGCCCCTAAAAAAAGAAAAAGGGGAATACTTGGAGGACTAGGGGCTGGCCTTGGTATCCTGGGACAAGCTGAACTTGCAGCTAATGAAGAACGTCATTCATTAGAAAAATGATTTTTTATCTCAAATAGCTCATATAGAGGGGATGCTGTTTCAGGAAGAAGGAAAAGGGTGGGAAGCAGCATGGAAAGACAATAAAGCCTTAGTTTCATGGATAGAACAGACTCAACAGAATATAAAAACTCACGCACAAACCCAACAATGGGAATGTGCCTGTGCCCTAACTCAACTGGGCCTGTTGTCTATGCTAATGCTAATGGAATCTGAAGTGGCTATGAAACAATGGCCAACTATAATGGCTACAAGAGCCCAGGCCAGACCCTTACTGGACTCCTCATATGGTTCCCCAGGAATTTGGAAAATTTTAAATGAAAAATATGTTCTACAACATTGTGTTTTTTAAAGGCCCAGGTGCCAGTTAAATCCTAAGCTTAAAATTCCCAGTAGTTCAACTGGCTGGCATAAGGACCATCCTCAATAATACTAGAATATTTCCAGGGGGAGTAGATGGGCCATATTTAAAAATAATAAACAACAGGAACCCATCTCACTGTCTGATTGTGAAAGTAAGAGAGGTGAATGGTTATGCCCCCAATTCATGTGGAATACTGAATTCACCCAGTTCTGGCCTATTGTATCTACACCCATGAATAACATATGATATATGGGAAAGGGGTGTTTTTGCTGGGAAGGGTTAAAAAACTCTTCTGTTGCTGAAACCGGTTTGGCTCAGTGGATAGAGCATCGGCCTGTGGACTGAAAGGTCCCAGGTTCGATTCCGGTCAAGGGCATGTACATTGGTTGCGGGCACATCCCCAGTAGAGGGTGTCCAGGAGGCAGCTGATCGATGATTCTCATCAATGTTTCTAGCTCTCTATCTCTCTCCCTTCCTCTCTGTAAAAAAATCAATAAAATATATTTTTAAAAAAACAACAAAAAACTCTTCTGTTATAGTAAGCGATTTTTACTGTAATAACGCCAAGTTTACTTTAAATAATTCTGGAATATGGTGTAATATTGAAATTATAGGCAAAATAACTTTGCCTGAGGTTCATAAAACCTATGAATAATATTGATATTGAAAATCTAATGTATTGGGAAATTGAACTTAATCCTCCCCATGAAGTCATTTCTATGGAAACTAATTGGCCAGAAGAAAAATTAGAACTTCTAGATAATGAAATAGTAGAGAGTCTCAATTCCTCTGGCCAAACATGTCATAAAGTACAAATGACAGTGGATGAAGGAGGAAAACATATAATTAGCTTAATAAAAAATTATGATAATGCATGTAAAGGGTTTTTCGGTTGGCTGGGATGTTTGTTCCCTTTAGACTTTTCCTTGTCTAGTATTAGACATTTTCTGTTCCTAACCACTGTTATTGGTTTACTATTGTTACTTTTGTCCATGATATGTAAATGTTATGTCAGACGCAGAAAGGCAAAACATAAGACAAACAGCAAAAAGACTCGGATCATGGTGGCTCAAAAGTTAGAAATGATCTAGAATACTTTTTAATAAGGACATATAGGATCTGACTGCCTCCCATCTACCTGCCTTTTTAAAATATATAATTCGACCTTAAATGCCATCTAAGGTTATGGTCTTGCCCCCATCCCCAGTGGTCCAACGGTTCAGCAAGACATGCTGACACTGAGACATCCTAGGAATGAGCCTTCCTAGCGCCGTGGGACTCCATTATCCAACCAAAAGGTTGGTCATCAGTGCATCCTTTGGATTGATTAATGACCAAAAGGGGAATGTGTGAAAGAAAAGGGCCACACGCTAACCTGACAAGCTTAGGGGAGGCCTGTGTGGCAGTCTTGCAAACTCAGAGACCTAAAATAACCGCAAAAGATGGTTTGAAAATTAAATATCTAACTACAAACAGGTTACAGGGGGTAGTCATGATCTAGGCCAATATCTCACCTGACAAAGATCAACTTAGATCTCTTTACTGATTCCATCTGCCTTCCTGCCTCTAAGATAACCTATCTGTGAGATGTCTGGGTAACTTGTAACTTCCTTTTTACCCAGACCCCTCAGGGCACAACAAATGGCCTCGAGACATTTCCTCATTGTTATTGTTGTCAAGTTAATTGTCAACTGTTAATTATGTTAAAGTATCCTGTATCCATCTCTGTAAAAGAAGCTCCTGTCCATCATTTCACCTTTTACCCTATCCCAGAGGTTTCCCCCGCTTCGCTCTGTCCCACCTCCCTAATCTATCACCAGTGAGTTTCATGTAACTCACCTACGTCCCTTTCCTTTGATTGCAATGTGTAAATATAGAAATGTAACCCGCCCCAGGCCCGGAGCAGCGGCTGCCAGGCTGGGAGCGGCCAGGCCCGGAGCAGCCGGGTCTGGTGTGGCCAGGCCCGGAGCAGCAGCTGCCAGGCTGGGAGCGGCCAGGCCTGGAGCGGCCGGGCCCGGAGCAGCTGGGCCCAGAGCAGCCGGGTCGGGTTCGGCCAGGCCCGGAGCAGCAGCAGCCAGGTCCAGAGCAACTAGGTCGGGAGCGGCAGTGACCAGACCCGGAGCAGCTGGTTGTGGAACGAACCAGAGCAACAGAGGCCAGGCCCGGAGCAGCCGGGCCCGGAACAGCTTGCTCCTCGCCTGCCCCTGCCCCACGGCTGCCTCTCAGACATGGCTGGAAACTTTTGTGGGAACTTGAGGGTCTGCTGAATCAAGTGATGAAGGCTTAGATCTGGATGTGTTGAGTTAGTATAGGGCTGGAGTGTTGATCTGTGAGTGCCTTGGGTGGGGCCTGGATGAGGCTGGTTGACCTATTTGGAAATGTCTTTTGTGTGAAATGTATCATTGGGCATGTGGTGGTATTATTGATATGAGAAAATGCTAAGTAACTGATTTACTATCTGAAAAGGGATTTACTATAGGGGAAAGGGAGGGAGGAAGAGACTGAACATAAACTGCACCTATGAATGAGGACAATGGGGGATGGGGAGGGGGCGCAGGGTGGGGTGGGAACCTGGTGGAGGGGGGAAGAAATGAGGAACCTTTGTAACAATATGAACAATAAAGATTGATTTTTAAAAAATAAATTAAAAAAAAAGAAAAACTTAAAAAAGAAAAAAGAAAAAAAAAGAAAAAGAAATGTAACCTGCCATTCTCCGGAGCATTATCTCAATCCGTTGAGGTTCTGCTTCCCGGCATATGTCGACAGTTTGGCTCAAATAAACTCACAAAAATTCTTTACAGGTTTCAATGATTTTTTTCATTAACATTTGTAATAGAACTACAAAACACCAATATTGTTCTAAAATCAGAGAGAAAAGGCATCACCTACAAAGGAATGACAATTAGACGAAGCAGACTTCTTCAAAATCTGCACCGCACCTATTACATACCCACACTGGCCCCAGTACTAAGAACACAAGATGAACAAGACTCTGTGGAGCCTACAGATGTGTCAGGAACAACAGATGTGGAGGGAGCAATGACAGTGCGAGCAGCCGGCCTGGGTGGTGAAGAGAATTGGCAAGAAGGCCATACAGCTAGAGCTGTGAGCTATTAAGATTTTCCCATCAGAGGGAAGGTATGTATGTATGGGGTGGGGGGGCAATGTTAAAATATGTACACAGATAATAATTTAATTAAAAATATTTAAAATAATAATATTAAAGTTATTGATTAAAAAAAACAGATTTTCCCATCAATGCTGCAAGGTCCCAGGTGTTTATCAAGATGGGGTGGGCTTTTCCTTCCCAGGGGCTGAGGGCAGTAGCTGCCATGCTCACAAATCCTGCCTTGGGATGGAGACAGAAAAGATGCCCTAAGTCTGGTCATTCCCTAGGACCTCCGAGGGAAAGGAAGGTCCCAGACTGTGTCCCCACGGCCAAGGCCAAGGCCAAGCAGCCCTGTATATGGGGCGAGGAAGGCTATGCCAGAATGGGGCGGGGAGGTGCAGGTGGGGGCTGCCCTGATGTATGGAACGCTCCTTTGACCACCAAGAACAGGTGCTGAGCTGGGTTGGGGCTGAGAGCCACTCAGGAGCTCTGTCCCCGCCCCAATGCACGCGCACACAAGCCTTCCTGCGAGTCCACCCAGGGAGCACCCAAAGGTCCTCCCGCATCAGAGCTGGGGAAAGGGCACCGTCTTCCGTCTTGGACTCTGTTGAGACGGGGGCTGACTTTCTGCACCACCACCACCGCCACCACCTCTCCGCCCCAACCTCATTCCCGAACGCCCCGCGCTGCCAGCCTAGCCCGGAGGTGCCAGGAAGGTGTCTGCCTCCCCGGCCGGGCTGCTTCCGGCTCAGCCTTATCGGCCCCGGTGCCCGGCCAGGTGAGCTGGGCCAGGTGAGCCGGGCCAGGTGCCACTCCCTCAGGGGCGGGCCGGGGGAGGGAGGGTTTGGCAGGGGAGGTGTGGGGAGGGTTAGGAGTGCTTTGCGGGAGGCTGGGAGGTGCAGAGGGGGGAGGCTGGGGGGCGGTGCTCCGGGTCTGACCTGGGGGAGGGGCCGCCCCCGCAGCCTCACCTGCCCCGCGGACCGCCCGCTGCCTGTCCCGCCCCGCTCGGATTTAGCCCCGGCAGCGCCCGAGCCCGCGGAGCCGCCGCTTCCGCCTTTGCCAGGTGAGGGCCCGGCCCCGGGGCTGCCCGCCTCGCCCTCCGCTGCTCTGTCTTCCCTGCCCGGTCCTCCCTGCCCGGTCCTCCCTGCCCGGTCCTCCCTGCCCGGTCCTTCCTGCTCGGCCTTCCCTGCTCTGTCCTCCCCGCTCGGCCCTCCCTGCCCGGTCCTCCCTGCTCTGTCCTCCCTGCCCGGTCCTCCCTGCCCGGTCCTCCTGTCCGGTCCTCCCTGCCCGGTCCTCTCCTCCCCGCGGGCCGCCCCGCAGCCAGGCTCCCGGCGCTCTCCTGCCGCCCTGGTCCTTGCTCACCCCGAGTTCCCAGCGTGGGGCCCCGCTGCCTCCCGCTGTGTGTGTGTGTGTGTGTGTGTGTGTGTGTAAGGAAGGGTTGGTGTGCAGGTAGTATGTGAAAAGAGTGCTGGCAGCCCAGCCCAGAGCGCCGGAGGCTGTGGCTGCCCTGAGCTGAGGGAGAGTGACTCAGGTGCTGCTGCTGCAGGGAGGGGCCCGGGGGTGTCCCAGCTGGGAGCACCGCCGGATTCCACTGCAGATGCTGCGGCCTCCTCCGGGCGAGGGGCTGTCTGCCTGCCTGCAGACTCAGGTGTCTGTGGACGCTGACCTGCGTCTGGCGTGTTGTGTGTGTCCATGAGGACCTCGGTGCTGTGGGTCTAGGGGGCAGCGGACTGCCCTGTCTCCATGACATGTGTGTGAGAGGTATGTGGCAGTAAGCCTGGCATTTATGGCAGCGTGCTAGAACGTGTCAGTGTGTGTGTGTGCGTGTGCGTGTGTATGGGTGTGGGAGGCAGTGTACCTTTGTGTGTATGTGCACACGTGTGTGTGCCTACTTGTTTGAGGTTCTGAGGAATGGTGTGGTTAGCCAGCTGGGCACCTCTGGTATGTATGTGTAAAATGTCTCCTGTGTGTGTGAGTGTCTCCAGTGTACATGAGTGTGCAGCGGTGTGTCTCCGGTCTGAAAAGCCGTGTGTCTGGGTGTGCTGGGGGCCAGGGCGCTGTGCCATCTGGAGAGTGAGCTCGGAGTCTGCATGGTGGAGTCTCAGGTGTGAGGGGCAGGGGCCTCGGTCTCAGCACGGGGAGCAATCTCTGGGTGTGCGAGTGGAGTGGAGGACGTCTGTCCCTGATGTGTCCCTCCCTCCAGCCCTGAGGGTGTGTGATGCGGAGGGCGGAGCCGGGGACCACAGCCCTGCTGTCCGGTGTCTCAGGTGCCCCGGGCGCTGAGTCTGGAGGAGAGTGCTCCATCCGGGCTCCTTCGCAGACATGCTCCCGGAGGCGGGCTCGCCCTGGCTGCTGCGGCTGCTGCGGGACCTGCAGCTGGCCCAGTTCTACAGGCCCATCCTGGAGGAGCTGAACGTCACGCGGCCTGAGCACTTTGACTTCGTGAGACCTCAGGACCTGGACGCCATTGGCATGGGCCGGCCTGGTGAGGCCCCGGCCGGAGGCCCTCTCTCTCCCCCAAACTGCTCTTTGCTACAACCCCACGCCCCTCCCCACCAGCCCTCTTCTTACCTTTACATTCCCGGCATAATCCCCCACTCCCATACTACCAGCCCTTTAATTCCGGTCTCCCCCAGCCCAGCGCAGACTGGCTGAAGCTTTGAAGAGGCACCGTTTGGGGCACAAGCCTAAGAACTGGGTCTACAAGGTGTGTGTTTCGGGGTGGGGGTGAGAGGTTGAGGGGCCAGCTCAGGCTGGGGGGTGGGCTGTGCTGAGCTGAGTGGCAGGGGTCTGCAGGCTTCCGCACACCAGATTTCCCTCCCCTGTTTCAGATCCTTGGGGGGCTTGCCCCTGAGCAGGAGACGACCCCCGCACCTTCAGACAGCCCCCCGTCCCTCCAGGAGCCGGAGGGGGGCCTCAAGTGTCTGATCCCCGACGGCGCTGTGTGCAGAGGGGAGCTGCTGGGCTCCGGCTGCTTCGGGGTGGTGCACCGCGGGCTGTGGACGCTGCCCAGCGGTCAGAGCGTGAGTATGGGGGAGCCTCCTGCCCCTGGTCCCTGGGCCAGCTGCCCCCCGCCCTGCTGACCCCGCCCTGCTGACCCCGCCCTGCTGACCCCCACCCTGCTGCCCCCCGCCCCGCTGACCCCCGCTCTGCCCTGCTGCCCCTCCACTCCGCTGCCCTCGCTCTGGCCCTGGTGTAGCTCTCCCCGCGGGGCCTGACGGTGCCTCTCCCCGCGCCCCCAGGTCCCAGTGGCGGTCAAGTCCCTCCGGGTGGCGGCCGAGGGCTCTGCGGGCTCGGGGCTGAGGGACTTCCTCCGGGAGGTGTCGGTCATGATGAGCCTGGAGCACCCCCATTTGCTGCGGCTGCACGGGCTGGTGCTGGGCCAGCCCCTGCAGATGGTGAGCGACCTGGCGGGCTCCCGGGACACCGGCGGAGGGAGAGGGAGGGCGGGTGACTAGGCCCCATGGGGTGGACCTCCGTGGGGCGGGCCTCCGTGGGCTGGGTCTCCGGGGTGGGGCCTCCGTGGGGCCGCCCCGCTCACCGGCGCCCCCCGCAGGTGATGGAGCTGGCGCCGCTGGGCTCCCTGCACGCCCGCCTCACGGCGCCAGCGCCCGCGGCCCCGCTGCCCGTGGCGCTGCTCTGCCTGTTCCTGCGGCAGCTGGCGGCGGCCATGGCGTACCTGGGCGCCCGCGGGCTGGTGCACCGCGACCTCGCCACGCGCAACCTGCTGCTGACCGCCCCGCGCACCATCAAGGTGGCCGACTTCGGGCTGGTGCGGCCGCTGGGCGGCGCCCGGGGCCGCTACGTGATGGGCGGGCCGCGCCCCATCCCCTACGCCTGGTGAGTGTGTGTGGGGGGCACCCCATCCCCTGCGCCTGGTGAGTGTGTGTGGGGGGCACCCCATCCCCTGCGCCTGGTGTGTGTGTGTGGGGGGGGGCACCCCATCCCCTACGCCTGGTGAGTGCGGGGCGCCCGCAGGAGAGTGTTCGGGGCCGGTCCTGAGGGTGAGGATCTGGAGGGCAGTAACGGAGGGACTGGACCCAGAGGAGTCCGTGGGTCTGGAAGGATTTGGGAGCCCAGGATTGGGGGGGAGGGTTGCTCATTGGGGGGGGGGGGAAACCCCAGGGGCACACAGCCAGCCCCCTTCAGCTCCCCCTCCGCAGGTGCGCCCCGGAGAGCCTGCGCCAGGGGGCCTTCTCTCCCGCCTCGGACGTGTGGATGTTCGGGGTGACGCTGTGGGAGATGTTCTCCGGGGGCAAGGAGCCCTGGGCCTGGGTCCCGCCCTACCTCATCCTGCAGCGGCTGGAGAAGGAGCAAGCACGGCTGCCCAGGCCTCCTCTCTGCTCCCGGGCCCTCTACGCCCTCGCTCTGCGCTGCTGGGCCCTCCACCCTGCTGACCGGCCCAGCTTCTCCGCCCTGGAGGGGCTGATCCAAGAGGTGGGCACCCTCGCACCCCCAGACCTCTCTTCCCTCTCTCCTTTCTCCCAGGGTTCCCTCCACAAGACTAACCACACTGACGCCTGGGCTGGGGGCTGGGACCCCCGTTTGCTCTGAACAGAGCAGTCCATGCCTGCAGGGTGCTGAGACCCTGGGGAGCAGCTTGGAGCTGCGTAGAGGAAGGCTGAAGGGCTGAGGGCTGAAGGGGGCACAGAGCCGAGAGCTGCAGGCTGCCCTGGGCCTTGGCAGAGGAAGGCTCAGTGTGGAAGGGGAAGGCTGTGGAGGTGCTCAGGGCTGCCCCGCGGGAGGATCTGTGAGGCTGATAAACACCAGAGCTGGCCTCAGAGCACTTGATCTGCCTAAGGTACTGGCCTGAGTGCCTCACATGTATTTATATATATATATATATATATATATATATATATATATATATATATTATTGATTTTACACAGAGAGGAATTGAGAGGGACAGAGAGTTAGAAACGATGAGAGAGAAACATCGACCAGCCGCCTCCTGCACACCCCCCACTGGGGATGTGCCCGCAACCAAGGTACATGCCCTTGACCGGAATCGAACCCGGGACCTTTCAGTCCGCAGGCCGATGCTCTATCCACTGAGCCAAACCGGTCCCGGCCTCACATGTATTCTTACACATGTTCACTCATTTAATCCTCACAAAAACCCGGCAAGATCATTGTTATCTTGATTTTGCAGATGGGGCAGCTCAGGCACTATCAGTTTAGGTGACTTGCCTGAAGGCACACACAAGCCCTGACCGGTTTGGCTCAGTGGATAGAGCGTTGGCCTGTAAACTGAAGGGTCCCAGGTTCGATTCCCGTCAAGGGCATGTACCTTGGTTGCAGGCACATCCCAGATGTGTGTGTGTGTGTGCGCGCATGCGCGCGCGTGTGCAGGAGGCAGCTGATCCATGTTTCTCTCTCATCAATGTTTCTAACTCTCTATTTTTCTCCCTTCCTCTCTGTAAAAATCAATAATATATATATATATATATATATTTTTTTTTTTTTTTTTTTAATAAAATAAAATAAAAGCACACATAAGTGGAGGAGTTGGCATCTGAACCAGTCTCTCTGACTTCAGAGCTATTCCCTAATTGGCTATACTATTTCAGGTGTTCTTTTGAAAACATTTTTGAAATAATTTTTCAACTACAGTTGACATACAGTATTACATTCATTTCAGCTGTACAGTGATTAGACATTATATAACTTACTAAGTGATCATCCCGATAAATCTTGTACCCATTTGATCCTACACATAATCATTAGAATATTATTGACTATATTCCCTACTTTACATCCCCATGACTATTCTGTTGCTATCAATGAGAGATTTATGTGAGAACGGAACGTCAGTTGGCTGCCTCCTGCATGCCCCCTACTGGGAATTGAGCCTGAACACCAAACTCTTGCATGTGCCCTGGCCAGGAATCGAACCAGAAACCTGCCAGTGCACAGAAAGATGCCAAACAACTGAGCCACACCAGCCAGGGCTGTTTCTGTTCTGCTTGGCTCTTTATTTTGTTTTTAGATTCGATTGTTGATAGATATGTATTTAATGTCATTTTACTGTTCGTATTTTTAATCTTTTTTTTTTCTTCTTTTCTTCTTCTCCCTTTAACATTTCATCTAATACTGGCTTGGTGGTGATGAACTCCTTTAGTTTTTCCTTGTCTGGGAAGCTCTTTATCTGCCCTTCTATTCTAAATATAGCTTTGCTGGATAATCTTGGTTATGGGTCCTTATTTTTCATTACTTTAAATATTTCTTGCTAATCCCTCTGGCCTGTAAAGTTTCTGTTAAGAAATCAGCTGACAGTCTTATGGGAGCTCCCATGTAGGTAACTAACTGCTTTTCTCTCTTTTAAAAAAATATTTTTTTATTGATTTCAGAGGAGAGAGAGATAGAAACATCAATGATGAGAATCATTTATCAGCTGCCTCCTGCGTGCCCCACAGTGGGATCGAGCCCACAACCTGGGCATGTGCCCTTGACCAGAATCAAATCTGGGACCCTTCAGTCCGCAGGCTGACACTCTATCCACTGAGCCAAATCAGCGAGGGCCTCACCTCCTTCTGTAATGCTGTTGAAGTTCTAAGTTCATCTACTTTTCCCCTAAGTTCACTGAGCATTCTTATAACCACTGCTTTGAACTCTGCTTCTAGGAAGATTGCTTGTCTCCATTTTGCTTAGTTCTTTTTCTGGAGTTTTGTTCTGTTCTTTCATTTGGGACGTGTTTCTTTGTCTCCTCGTGTTGTCAGCCTCCCTGCGTTGGTGTCTGTGTATTAGGTGGAGCTGCTTTGTGTCCCAGTCTTGGTAGAAGGCCTAATGTAGTACATGTTCTATAGGGTCAGAGGCACAGGCTCCCCATTCACCCAACCTCGGCACTCCAGTTGTGTCCACCCCTTCCTGCGGGCTGTGTACACCCTCCTGTTGTAGTTGAGCTCTGATTGCTGTTGGAGGGATTTACCCAGGCCAGTCGGCTGCAAGGGCTGCCTGCGGCCAGCATGGAGGATCAGCTGTGCAGGGCCCATCCCACAAAGTAGGACTTACGTCAGCAAGGCCTGGGTGGCTGCTGAGTTCGCTGCTTAAGTGAGTTGCTTGTGGGTCTGAAGCTGTTCACTGGGTGTGCTGGCTCTGGAGCCTCCTGAAGCTGCAGGCAAAGATCAACGGCCACCTGTGTTCTGCTCAGGTCGCTTGGCATGAACTACAAAGCAATCTGCACATGACCGCTACTTGTGCTCAGCTAGGAAGTATCCAGGAGAGGCCAAGCTGCAAGCCATACAGCTGCCACTAGTATGGGGCCTGGGGCCACTTAGAAAAAGAGATGGGGCGTGCCAAAGCCAGATGCTGCTTGTTTGAGAGATTCTGGGAATGTCTGAAGCATGAGCCAAGACAGGTGATTCATATGGAAAGGCCATTGGAAAATACTTGGGTGGGCCAGAACGTTGGTGGGGCAAGGTCTCAGGGAACACCAGGGCAAACAGTGATAGCCAGGGTGATGGAAACTTGGATGTGGCGCCCTCCTGCAGGCTCTGTGGGGGAAGGGCTCAGAAAAGGAATATGGCCTCTGCCAGCACTTCTGTCTGAGAGAAAGCTGCCCCTCCAGCTCTTGCCCTGATCCCAGACACTTCCGTCCCTCCCCATATGTCCCTGGTGCCTTTTGGGCGCCTGCCCCAGGGCTAGAACTCAGAGGGAGTGAATCCACGTAGGTGTGCTTGAGCCCTTTAAGAGGAACTGCCTGGGACTCCATAAGCCCCCCATCTCACTCAGCCACAGTCCCCACTGGTTTTCACAGCCACAGCTATGGAGACTTCTCTTCCCAGTACTACCAACCTGGAGTGGGGGACCAGGAGTGGGGCTGGGACTCCTCACTACTCAGGGGAGGACCTCTGCAGCCAAGATATCCCTCCCAATTTTTATCTGCCATCTGAGGTGTTAGACTTATTATTCATATCCACTCCTCCTACCGTGTTTCCCCGAAAATAAGACATCCTCCAAAAATAAGACCTAGCGCATGGAAAGATAAGACATCCCCTGAAAATAAGACCTAGTGCAACTTTGGGAGAAAAAATTAATATAAGACACTGTTTTATTTTCGGGGAAACAGGGCACTAGTCTCAATGTGGCTGCTTCTTTATATCCTTAGTTGTAGGACTTCCAGTCAGCTAGATTTCAGGCAGTTCTGAACGATGGTTGTTACGTAGTTTAGTTGTATTTTTCACGTGGTTGTGGAAGGATGTGTGTCACATTTACCTACGCTGCCATCTTGACTGGAAGTGTATACTGTTAAAGGAATTACTCTAAGGGTACTAGGAAGTTGTGAAAGCACTCTGAGCAGGGAAGGAACAAGACTTTACGCACTGTATCACTCCAGCTTGGTGCAGGAATGGGTTAGAGGATGGCACTGGAGGTGGGAAGCCCAGGTTGGAGAGAATAGCTGTGAAGCAGAAGAGAGATGAAGAGTCTGGATGAGGGATGAGACACCGGAGCTGGAAAGAAACGGAAACTTTCCAGAGGGGCTTGGCGGTGGATGTGACAGGCCTGGGTGTGGAGTAAAAGCAGAATGCAGGACGACGCCCTCTTTGCCTCCCTAGGGAGAGACAGACCCCCTTCTGTGGCTCCCTGACCCCTGGGCTGTGTCCAGCTTGGCATGGACACGCCTGCCTCCTCCGTGGCTACAATCGGGGGACAGGGAGGGCCAGGCCCATCCTGGGCCCAGAACAGGACACAGCTGGGACGGGTTTGATGGTGGGTGTGTAAACCAAGAGGAGTCTTTCTTCCCTGCTCCATGGCACCCTCTCCTGCTTCCACAGGCCTGGCCCCCCGAGGGGCGATGTGTGAGGGAGGTCACAGAGCCGGGCGCCCTGAGGATGGAGTCTGGAGATCTCATCACTATCATCGAGGGCAGGTGAGTGCCTCATGTTTCCTACGAATCCCCAGGGGGACTCCCTCCCAACATGCCCGGCCCTGCTTCCTTTCCTGCTTTCCCCCAGCTCCTCCAGCCCTAATCCTCTGCCTCACTCCCTGACGCTCCGCCGTCCCGGCTGCCGGCTGGAGCATGCCACAGCCCTCTGTGTTGGGGAGAAAAAGGCTTCCCTTCCCCCGGGCAGACGCAGCTCCGTGGCACACGGCGTGTGAGGGACGCCCCCCGTGTTTCCCCCTCTTTCCACAGCCCCGGCTCCGCCACCTGGAAGGGCCAGAATGGCCGCACGTTGAAAGTGGGCACGTTCCCAGCCTCGGCCGTGACGCTGGCAGACCCGAAGGGCTCGCCGGCCCCCTGCCCAGCCCACCGGGGCTCCCCTGCGTGGGGAGAGCAGAGGCGGGGGAGCGCAGAAGGGTGAGGACCTGAGAGCCTGGGGACAGAGCTGGGCTGGGGAACCAACCACGCTCAGCAGCTGCTCTGCAAGGGGAGCGTGGGGAGGGGCGGGAGAGCTGGGAGGCTGGACCTTCCCGGAGAAGCTTCCACTCTCACCCCGAGATCCTTTGGGGGAGACATTGATGTCGGGTGGGGCTGGGGCGGAAGGCGAACGGGATCCCTCCCCAGCAGGGCCAGAGCCAAGGCGAAGCCTCGGGAGCCGCCTCCAGCTCAGGGGCCGAGAAGGAACATGGCCCTGCAGAGGATGAAGGGTGAGTGTGGGGGGAAGGGTGGGGCCCCAGGGCCTCTGGGACCAGGAACAACCCTCAGTTCTGCCCCCTGCTCTGAATCCATGCCTTCGGGATATGATTTCCCCACACGTGACTCCTTCCTTCCACCACTTCCTTCTGCCTGTGGGCATCGCAGCTGTCCTTTAAGACCGGCCCTGTCCATGGCCCAGCACCCGCCTGCGGCCCTGCCCTCCCAGGCCTGTGGGTACTTAGCTGCCCGGGCCTGGGTGTCCGTCTTACGGTCCCGGACCCCGGCGGACAGCACAGGCAGACAGAGCGGGAAGGAGGCAGGGCCCTGCATCGAGGCTTCCTCTCAAGATGTTTTTTCTCACCCTGCAGGCATTTCCAAGAGTCTGGAATCTGTTCTGTCTCTGGGCCCCTGCCCCAGAGGGGGTGGTTTCAGCCCCCCTGAACTTCGAAAAGCCAGAGATGTCCCCCAGGGGCCCCCCGGCCTGCCCCCCCGCCCTCCCAACCAGCCGCCCCGGGAGCGGCCTTCCTGGCCCAAAAGAGAAAGAGAACTCCTGCACAGTCGCCCCCTGGGGACCCCTGGAGACAGCAGGGCCGCTGTGCTCCCCGGAGGCCTCTTGCCCGACCCCGACTTGCAGAAGAGGGCGATGGAGGTGAGGTCTCCCTGGCGCGGCCTGGAGTCCAGAAGGGGCTGCAGGCTGGGCTCAGAGCCTAAGAGAGGCTTTGTGCCCTAAGGTGCAGCTGAGCGTCCACGGAGTCACCCACCAGGAGAGCCAGGCGGCCCTGAGGGCCACGGGAGGAGATGTGGTCTCTGCCATCCAGAACCTTAAGGTAAGGGCAGCCCCCCCTCCGGGCTCCCGCCGCCCTGCCCCTGCCTCTGACACTCAGCCGCCCCTCCCGCGCCCACAGGTAGACCAGCTGTTCCACCTGAGCAGCCGGTCCAGGGCCGACTGCCGGCACATCCTGGAGCGTTACCAGTGGGACCTCTCGGCGGCCAGTCGCTACGTCCTGGCTCGGCCCTGAGCTCGGCTCCTTCAGACACGGACACCAGATGCCCCGAGGAGCGGGCCCTGTGTGGCCCTGAGAGGGAGCACGTTCCCGCCAAAGAGTGCCGGCCCGGCAGGCCCAGGGTCCAGGGTCGGCGCTGACACGCGTCTCCTCCTGCCCGGCCCCGAGGCCTCGGAGGGCTCAAGCCCCCGTGGCTGGGTCATGGAAGGACGTAGCCACCTGCCGACCACATTTCCCACCAGGAGGAGGAGGAGGAACAGAGCTGCTGTGCACCATTCCCACAGGAAGCTTGTCCTTGCTGCAGAGAAGGACAAGGACCACTCCGCACCCTGGGAACAGCCGTCCTGAGCGGCCTTCACACCAAGCCCCCGGGCACAGCCGTCCTGAGCGGCCTTCACACCGAGCCCCTGGGCACAGCTGTCCTGAGAGGCCTTCACACTGAGCCCCCGGGCACAGCCGTCCTGAGCGGCCTTCACACCGAGCCCCTGGGCACAGCGTCCTGAGCGGCCTTCACACTGAGCCCCTGGGAACAGGGTCCTGAGCGGCCTTCACACCGAGCCCCTGGGCACAGCGTCCTGAGCGGCCTTCACACCGATCCCCCGGGCACAGCCGTCCTGAGCGGCCTTCACACTGAGCCCCGGGGCACAGCCGTCCTGAGCGGCCTTCACACTGAGCCCCTGGCAACAGCGTCCTGAGCGGCCTTCACACCGAGCCCCTGGGAACAGGGTCCTGAGCGGCCTTCACACCGAGCCCCTGGGAACAGGGTCCTGAGCGGCCTTCACACCGAGCCCCTGGGAACAGGGTCCTGAGCGGCCTTCACACCGAGCCCCTGGGAACAGGGTCCTGAGCGGCCTTCACACCGAGCCCCTGGGAACAGGGTCCCGGGTGACGGGAGCAGCCACACTGACTTGGGCACGTGGCCCAGACTGCCTGGGCCTGGGCCGGGGCCGTCATGGGTGATGAGAGTTGCTGCCTTGGATGCAAGGACACTTGATCCCGGCAGCATGGATTACGAGACGAGATGGGCCAGCCCCGCCCGGCCCAGCTGTCACATTCCCCTTTGTTCCGTCCGCCCTCTCCCATTACACGTATCTTCCGAGGTCCAAAACATTACAAAGTTTATATGAATATAACATACAAATGCAGCCTCCTTTGTAGGAACAGGGCAGGGAGGGTGGTTCAGTAAGGCACACGGAGCTGCAGAAGCACCAGCGGTGGGGAGGGCGGGGGGGGGGGGGGGGGTTGGTGCTGGGGCCATGGCCCTAGAGCCGTTGCTGGGGAAACAGGGACCTCCTCTGAGTGCCACGTTCTGAGGCTGGACGGATTGGCCAAGCTGAGGCAGAGGTGGGCGGCCACATCAGCCATCTTTGGTGCTGCCTGCCCTTTCCCACCCCAGCTCTGTTGCAAGACCCCAGAGCAGGGGCCTGGAAGGGGTGAGAGGAAGGGAGCAGGGCAGTGTGAAAGCTGATACGCCTGGTGCTGAGGGACAGCGGAGACAGCGGTGAGAGGTAGCGGGGAAGGGCTCTCGTACATACCCTCCTGCGGGGGCCACAGCGAAGGAGGCCGGGGGAGCGGGGCAGGGAGGGGCACCATGGCCCCAGCCTCTCAGGCACCCGTCTGTCCTCTGCAGCGCACATGGAGGAAACGGGCTGCCTCCGAGGAGGGGCCAGGCCGGGCCAGATGAGCATCTTGAGTTCTGGCTGAGGAGATGGTCCTCACCCTGAGATGCCGTCTAACTGGTGATGGCAGAGGGCCCAGGGCCTCCTCGCTTCTCGTAGAACATGTAGTCCTGAGGGGAGGGTTCCGTCAGCGGGAGACGCTGTCCCAACCCAGGTCTAGACCTGCACCCCCGCCCCCATGGAGTCTGTCCCGAGCCCTTCGCTAGCAGGAGGCCAGGAGGTGCAGGCCTCCGGTGGGAAAAGGAGGGACCACCGACTCACAATGAGGAACGTGGCTCCCAGCAGCACCGCCTTCACCCTCACGTCCAGGTCCAGCGGGAACTGCAAGCCAAAGTCGTCTGCGTCCGTGAGGGCCTCCTGGAGCAGCCCGCCCCACTGCTTGCTGATGCGGCCCACACTGCGGGACTCATCCGGGGTCTTCACCTGTCAGGAGCCAGAGAGGCGAGAAGGACAGACCCAGCTAGGGTGGATGCAGCCGCTCGCCTGTCTCTTCCTCCCACGGGCACCCGTGTGAACTGTGCGGCTCCACACTCAGTGAACCCCTAACAGCCTTGGGTTTCCATGTGACTTCTGGGGAAACTGAGTCACCATAAGTCACCCTGAGAATAGATAGCCAAATTCAGGATTCAGACATGGCTCTGTTTCTCTCTCTCTTTCTCTCTCTCTCTCTCTCTCTCTCTCTCTCTTTCTTTTTTAATATATTTTACTGATTTTTGTACAGAGAGGAAGGGAGATAGAGAGTTAGAAACATCAATGAGAGTCATCGATCAGCTGCCTCTTGCACACCCCCTACTGGGGATGCGCCCTCAACCAAGGTACATGCCCTTGACCAGAATCGAACCTGGGACCTTTCAGTCCCCAAGCCGACGCTCTATCCATTGAGCCAAACCGGTCCCGGCGGCTCTGTTTCTCTTGAAGGACCATACGTGTCCATGGAACATCAGTGTGAGAGAAACGGAAGCATAACAGAGTCCAGTCTCCTCAGCATGTGGCTGGTTGGTGGTTTGTTTTTATTACCAAAGTCCCTGCCACCCACGTTTGGAGCTGTTTGTGCCCTACACAAAGTAGCTTGGCCAAGAGGGCAAGGAGGCTGCGAAAATTCTGGCTGCACCCTATCGGCCAACCAGGCTCCTAGCACCGTGGTCGGCAAACGGCGGCTCGCGAGCCACACGCGGCTCTTTGGCCCCTTGAGTGTGGCTCTCCCACACAATACCACAGCTAGGAGAGTCTATTTTGAAGAAGTGGCGTTAGAAAAAGTTTAAGTTTAAAAAATGTGGCTCTCCAGCCGAGACCGGTTTGGCTCAGCGGTGGAGCGTCGGTCTGCGGACTGAAGGGTCCCGGGTTCGATTCCGGTCAAGGGCATGTGCTTTGGTTGCGGGCACATCCCCAGTGGGGGGTGTGCAGGAGGCAGTTGGTCGATGTTTCTCTCTCATGGATGTTTCTAGCTCTCTATCTCTCTCCCGTCCTCTCTGTAAAAAATCAATAAAAATATATTTTTTTTAAAATGTGACTCTCCGAAGAAATTTCCATCATTATAATGTTGATATTTGGCTCTGTTGACTAATGAGTTTGCCGGCCACTGGCCTAGAAGACTGTGTCTGCCCAAAGGGTTGCCTTTGCAAAGTAAGGAGGGCCCCGTGCAGCACTGCATGCGAGCCTCAGCTAGAGGGCTCCAAGCCCATCTACGGGGGGAGAGGGTGGCCCCTGAGGACCATGCTTTCCACCGGACCCTCTGGGCCCAGCGGCAGCAGGTCCTGCTGATGTAGGTGGTAACTCACAGTGATGCCCTGGTCCTTTTCCTATGCTCATTCTCTATGCTCATAGTGACTAGAACTATCGTCATGTCCTTCTAAGCCTTTCCCATCCCCTTCCCTCTCCATCCCACCCCCTGGGGCACTTCCTGATGATCAGTCCCAGGCTGGGCAGGTTCTCTCCCAGCCAACCGTGTGTCCCAACATCAATGATGAGAGAGTCATTGATTGGCTGCCTCCTGCATAACCCCACTGGGGATCGATCCCACAACCCGGGCATGTGCCCTTGGCCGGAATCGAACCTGGGACCCTTCAGTCCACAGGCCAATGCTCTATCCACTGAGCCAAACCGGGTAGGGCATCAGTGTTGCTTTTTTTCATTCTCTCTCCCTCTTCCCCGTCTCTAACAATCAATTAAAAAACTTAAAAAAAAAAATATCAAGGGCCTGTAAAGTGTCTTTGTCTCCTACAAGCAAAGGTGCTTTCCAGCCTCTCACGGAAACTGTCTCCACTTGGGTTCACCAGGCTCCTGGTGGGCGGTAGGATGATGGTGAGAAGGATCTCACCTGAACTCCAGGCTGGAGAGGCCACTGGGCTTCTAGATTGGCAAGGCAAGCCACAGGGAGTTAAAAAGTTGACATAGGCCGAAACCAGTGTGGCTCAGTGGAAAGAGCGTCGGCCTGGGGGACTGAAAGGTCCCAGGTTCGATTCCGGGCAAGGGCATGTACCTTGGTTGCGGGCACATCCCCAGTAGGAGGTGTGCAGGAGGCAGCTGATCGATGATTCTCTCTCATGGATGTTTCTAACTCTCTATCCCTCTCTCTTCCTCTCTGTAAAAAAATCAATAAAAATATACTTTTTAAAAAGTTGACTTAGTGCTTGCTCCAGGGTCTGAGCTCACAAACCCATGCAGACAGTCCCATGGGCCCTTCTGCCTTCTAAACCCAGCCTGGCCGCAGACTGTCCCCTTCTCGATATGGCTGCAGGTGACGATCAGCACTGGCCCTCAAGGTGAACCCCACGCTGTCATGCTTTTATAGGACCAGGGAGCCGTCCCATTTCCAAACGGAGGAACACTGGAAATGGGGTGGGAGTCACAGTGAGTTTGGCTCGATGAGCTCCGTGTCTTGACTTTAGTGCTGGCCATCCTGCCTCGGGGAAGCTGCCATCCTGGTTTATGAGGGTTTATAATCTCCCCTGATTCCTGATACCTCAAAGTTGGTGTCTGTGCCGCAGCCACAGGTCCAGCAGGGCCCCACCACTCGCAGGATCGTATGGCGATCGGCATCTTGGATGGAGAACTTGGGGAGGAAGGGGTGCCAGGTCTGCAGCACGTGGCCGATGGTGGTGCCCGGTGGCGACTGCACTTCCATCTGGAGTGGGAGGCAGACAGGGTTACCTAGGCCCAAGCCCTCGCCACTCCAGCTCTGTCTCGGTCTCCACTCACCAGACCTCCCTTCCCCTTTGCCCGCCCGCCTGTCACCCCCTCAGCAGACCTCCAGGCCCACCTGTTCCCTCCAGCCTCGCGCTGGTGATGCTCCATCCCTGGTCCTCCTGGCCCCTACCCCGCCCTCTCCGACCCGTCCTCCTTGCCCACCTCCTGGAGGCCGCACGGGCAGCAGCTGCAGCCGCAGTGCAGCGGGCGGAGCAGGCGCAGCACCTCCCGGTCGCTGGGGTCCACCAGCCGCACGCGGAGGGGGCGGCGGGCGCCGCAGCACAGCCGCGCACAGCAGTGGCTCTCCTCGGCCGCCTGCCCCAGCGGCTGCCCGGCCCCGGAGCGCAGCTCGTACCGGTTCCTGGTCTCCCAGCCCAGGAGCGCTGCCGGGGGACACGGAGCTCAGGCACCGGCGCTGCCAGGAGCCCGCGCCCTGCCCGTCCCGAGGCCGCCCCTCCCACCCCGCGCGCCCCGCACTCACTCTCCACGCGGCCCGCGCGCTGGTGGACCAGGACCTGGTCAATCTGCAAAGAGACGGGCCGCCCCCTCAGCACAGCCCGGCGCCCGGCCCTCCCTGCGGCTCCTCCCCCCATCCCACCCACTCACCGGCACCAGGAACTCCAGGCCAGCAGGCACCCCGGGCAGCGGCAGGAGCGGGGCGGCGGGCCCGGCCGCAGGACCCGGGCCCCCGGGCGAGGGGAAGACGGCGAAGCCCGGGGCGGGCGCGGGGGCGGGCGCCGGGCCGGGCCCGGGATGCTGCACCTGCTCCGGGTACCCGGCGGCCACAGGGTAGGGAGGAGGGGGCGAGGGGGCGTAGCCTGTGGGGGGCATGTATCCTGTGGGTGGGTGGGTGGGGAGAACAGGGGTCGATGAGAGAGACTCGTGACCTCATCCTCTTGCCCCTTAACCCTTGGGGTGGGGGGGACCTCGAGGCTGCGGGGAAACGTGGTGAGAAGAGACTGGAGAGGATGGGGTTGGGGAGCAGGGCGGCGGCTCCGGGAGGAAGGGAGGGGCCCCACCCAGCCAGTTGGAGCACATTCCCGGAGGGTGCGTCCGACAGACACCCAGCTCCCAGTGGGGGTTCGCGGGGAGGAATAACGGAGACCCTCGCCCTGGGCCCACCTACCTGCCATGGGAGAGGGATGAGGGCTCGCGGGCTGTCGCTATACCGGAAGCTTGGCTCTCGAAGTGGAGGCAAGCCCGGGGACAGCCTGACAGACACACAGACAGACACAAAGACGCACGGGCACACGCGGAGGCGGCTGCGCCAGGCGCCCGCCCAGGGTCTGTCGGGCGGCGCCTCTGACTCGGGGAGAAACCGAAAGTGTCAGCGGGCGGGGCAGGGTACCTGGGACCCCGGGTTCCCTCCGGGGTGTGCAGAACCGCCCCCTCCCTTTGTTCTCCCATTCTCCGCGGAGGCGGCTGTGGGCGGACGGCAGGGCGGGCGGACCCGCGATCGGACCGACGGCCCGACCTCGAGGGCGGCTTCCTGACCCCTCTGCATCCCCCGCTCACCTGAAGCCCCTAAAAGAGTCGGGGTGCCCAAAGCTCCGAGGCTCCGGGAGCTCGCGGAGGCGGGCCCGGAGCCTGGCCCCGCCCCCGCCGCCCGGCCCCGCCCCCGCCTGGGAGCCGCGCCTGCGCAGAGAGGACGCGGCTCTCCGGCGGCGGACCCGGGACCGAGGGCTCCTCCGCGTGGTGGGCGTCCCGCCTCTTCCGTCTGCCCGCGGCGGCCGCGGAGGAAGTCCTCCCGGGGAGGGCAGCGGCGGAGTCCTCCCTCTCCTCCCCCGCCCCGGGGGTGCGGACTGAGGCTCAGCGCCCCTCCGCAGAGAGCGAGGACGGCTGGCACCGCTCGGACCCCGGGCTCCTGCTCCGAGGTGGTACGGGCCTCGCTGCGCAGCGGGATGCCCTTCACACCATCACTGCTTAGCTCCTGGCTCCCTTCCTCCCTGCCCGAGCTCACCGCGCGGTCTCTCATTCCTGACGCCGCAGTGACCCACGGTGACCCACACAGACGCCTTGCGATGCCGGCACTTGCTAAGGTCGTGCCCGGCCACGCGGGTGACAGGCTGCCCAATGGTGTCACCAGAGAGTGTGCAGGAGATTAAGTTGGGGGAGACCAGACGAGGCAGTGCAGTCTGTAGAAAAGGCTCCCCCAAAAGAAGGGACTGGACCGAGGGCCCAGGTGTGAGGGGGAGAGGGCGCACAAGGCTCGAGGGAGCTGGGAACCTACTGAGAGATTTTGACCACATTTAATTAAGAAAAAGTTATGGTCAAAACTTTGTTTTATTAAAACTGCAATGTGGAAAACAATGGGCGCCCAGGCTGGGTGGCTGGCAGCAGTCTGGGGGAGAGGATGCTGTGGTAGTGCAGAGTGGACAGTATGGAACTTGTCTGGAGGATGAGCTGGGGGGTGAAGAGTCCAGGGTAACCTCAGGCGCCTGGTGACCAGGCAGATGAAGGAGAAACTCATCAATATGAACATGGCAGCTGATTTTGGGGGCTCCTTTGCTGGTGTGTCCATGTTCTTCTGGGCTGTTCACCTGCTCCCACAGCTTCAGTCATCATCTGCTTCAGACAAGGGCTTGACTGCCCTCCACCAAAATGCATAGGCATACAGAAATTCAACTATTCAACAAAGATTCGGTGCGCACCTACTGTATGCCAGACAGCATTTAAGGTGATAGGAATGTTTACCAGTTAAAAACAATTAACAAAACAAATATTCCTGATTCCCTGGGGTTCACATTCTGGTGAAGAAGAGACAGATAATGTAAATAAATACATCAGAAGTGATAAGTGCTATGAAGAAAAATAGAGCAGAATAAGGAGAATAGAGTGGTGGGCAGTGGTTGCAATTTAATTTTTTATTATTTTTTTATTGATTTCAGAGAAGAAATGAGAGAGAAAGATAGAAACATCAATGAGAGAGAATCATTGTTAGGCTGCCTCCTGCACACACACACAAACACACCCCGCCCAATGGATTCCCACAACCCAGGCAAGTACCCTGACCTGGAATACAGCAGGTGACCTCCTGCTTTATGGATCAACACTCAGCCACTGAGCCACACCAGCTGGGCATGGGGTTGCAATTTTAAGGAGGGCAGACTATAAGGTGATCATTGAGCAAATACCTAAAGGAGGTCAACGACTGAGCCATGCAGACTTCTATGTGAAGAGTGTTTCACACATAAGCAACGGGCAAGGGTCTCAAGAGTGAATGGGAGGGAGGAATAGAATGCATGAGAGGGAGGTAGGAGGCCAGATCACATATGGCCTTGTAGGCTATTGAATTACACTCTGAGATGGGAAGTGTTGGAGTGTTTGGACAGAGACAAGACATGAGCCTCACATACTGAAATAATGATCCTCAACTTCTGGCCACAGATTAGAATCAGTTGGGGTGCTTTAAAAATACCTCTGCCTGGACCCTGCTAGCAGTTCTCTTAGGGTTGCCTAAGACCATTGGAAAATACAAATATTTACATTATGATTCATAACAGTAGCAAAATTACAGTGATGAATTAGCAATGAAAATAATTTTATGGTTGGGGTCACCACAACATGAGGAGCTGTATTAAAGGGTCGAGGTATTAGGAAGGTTGAGAACCACTGCTTTAGAGGGAGAGAGGGAGGGAGAGAGAAACATCAATTTGAGAGACACATAGTTTCCTCCTGAAAGCACTCCATGTGGGCCCAGGATCGAAGTTACAACCCAGGTACATGCCTTGAACCAGGAATTGAACCCTTGACCCTTTGGTGCACGGGGCAATGTTCCTACCACTTAGAACACGGGCCAGGACCATAAGAACTTTTTGAGAATTCTTCAGCAGGCTTTAATGTGTAGCCAAGGCTGAGGACTACTGTTAGAAGGATTTCTCTTTCTTTCTCTCTGCTTTGTCCAATGTAAGCTGTAGATAATCAAGGACAGAAGGAAGTTCTTGCATAAAACTAGGTGAGATTTAAAAGATACATGTTTTTATTGATTTTAAATACTTTTAATATATATTTATTAATTTCAGAGAAGAAAGGAGAGGGAGAGATAGAAACATCAATGATGAGAATCACTGATCAGTTGCCTCCTGCACACCCCCTACTGGAGATCAAGCCTACAACCCGGGCATGTGCCCTTGATCAGAATCAAACCCAGGACCCTTCAGTCCAAAGGCCAATGCTCTATCCACTGAGACAAACTGGCTAGGGCTGTTTTTATTGATTTGCAAGAGAGAGGGAGACGGAGAGATAGGAACATCAATCAGCTGCCTCCTGCATGCCCCTCACTGGGGACTGAGCTGACAACCTGGGCATGTGCCTTGACAGGGAATCAAACTGGCGACCTCTTGGTGCATGGGTCAAAGCTCAACCACCAAACCACACTAGCCAGGCAAACTAGGGGAGATTTAATGGTGGCATAAGTGGTAGCAGTGGGAAATGGTCAGATTCTAGTTATGTATTCAAGCCGGACATAGGATGTGAGGAAAAGGGAAGTCAACGTTGACTCAAGCTTGGCCAGGAGGCTCTTCAGTGTGAGCTCCACACTTACTCTGAATTGGCTTGTCCTGCTGCCCACTCCATCCTGAGCTCCAGGCGCTCCTGTTCTCCCTCTTTTTTTTTTTTTTTTTAATATATTTTATTAATTTTGTACAGAGAGGAAGGGAGAGAGATAGAAACATCGATGAGAGAGAGTCATCAATCAGCTGCCTCTTGCACACCCCCTACTGGTTATATGCCCGCAACCAAATTACATGCCCTTGACCGGAATCGAACCTGGGACCCTTCAGTCCCCAAGCCGACGCTCTATCCATTGAGCCAAACTGGTCTCGGCCTGTTCTCCCTCTTATTTAGTTACCAGTATGATCTTGTCCCTTTTTTTCTGGGGAAAACCCAGCAGGTGGACAGAGGTCTCACCAATCTCCATGCACCAAGAGGTCGCCAGCCCACCTGTTCCTACTTGTAACACTGAACACATTGTATCAAATGTTTGAAGGGTATGTCTTCACTGTTTCTTGGTGTGTACATGAAGGAAAGAATTTAGCGCTGGGAACTGAACAGAAGAGAGTTTGAATCATGGCTTACCCAGGTCCTCGCTGTGTGAAACAGAACAAGTTCCTGTACCTCTCTTAGTTTCACTTTCCATCGGGACTGAGATACAATGTATAGTAACAATAAGGACAAATGAACAAGCAGGCCTTATTCACATTGGTTCCCCAAGAGCCCAGCCTACTGGGAGGACAAAGCTAAGGTATTAGGCATCGCATTACATGGAGGGTGGCCATTCCAGACACCGAGTTCTCCTCCCCCTGCAAGTTCCCTAGGTTCCAGACATTGCCTGAGATGAAGTTAGAAATGCACCAAGAGCACTAAACTGGGAGGTAGGCGCCTGAGGATCCAGTGCTGGCTCTGCCAGCGGCATTGTGGGTCACTCTGGGGCCTATTTTACTTATCTTTCTTTTTTTTTAAATATATTTTTTATTGATTTTGTACAGAGAGGAAGGGAGAGAGATAAAGAGCTAGAAACATCAATGAGAGAGAGTCTCTTGCACACTCCCTACTGGGGATATGCCCGCAACCAAGGTATATGCCCTTGACTGGAATCGAACCCGGGTCCCTTCAGTCCCCAAGCCGATGCTCTATCCATTGAGCCAAACCGGTTTCGGCTATTTTACTTATCTTTCAATGAAGAATTATTGTGATCCTCTAATACACCTCACATCATGTCTCCTCCCTGGATACAAATGTTTCAGTGGCTTCCCATTGTACTCAGAAAACAGTCCAACCTCTCAGCACAGTCACTCCACCATTTGGCCAGCGCTACCCGCATCCTTCACTACTGACCCTTGTATGATCCTCAAGCCAGTCACCAGGAATCCTTTCAGGTCGCAATTGCTCCTTCTTGCTTTAGGGCTGCCTGGTTTGGAACACACCCCTTTCTCTCCTATCATCCAGCTTCTTTAAGACTCCACAGAGCACTCTGCTACACTGCAGCTGCCACAGGAGGCTGGAGCTCAGTAGGAACTAGGGTGGGAGACAGGGATTCTGGGTTTAAAGTTATGCAGATCCTAATGAAAGATGTGGGGCTGAATGAGGTTATCTAAGCATGCTTCATGAGAGGAACGGTCTGTACTTTTTTGAATGCACACCTTCAGAAAAATTAGGTATGCACCTCCAATATATTATACTATACTGATATGCACTTTACAAAACATACTTATAGACATTTTAAAAACTGAAATTATATTGAGAACCCCCCCCCAAATGAAATTAAAATATGTATGCCTAGTAGTTCTAATTTTTTTTCTTCCCATTAAAATTTGGAAACCATTGATTTAAACTGCATAGGGGAGAAGCTGACAAAGAGAGAGAAAAGCCCAGAATGGTGTCATAGAAGCAATATGATGTGTTTCAAGGACAGTGTGGCCAATTGTGTCAGATGCTGCAGGGAGGCTGAGAAAAATGAGATAGAAAATCATCCATTAGATCTGGCAACCAGGAGGTCATAGTGAGTTATGGGACCCTTCCGAGAGCATTTATGGGGAAGAAATGGATGGAAGCCTGACCAGAGTTGGTTGCGGAGTAAATTTGAGTCCAAGCTTCTCTCCTGAGCTCTCCAACTACCTGCGTGACACCTCCAGCTGGAAGGAACATGTCCAAGCTGACCTGCGGATTTGCCTCCCCCTAATCTGCAACCTCTTTCGGTTTCCTCGTCGGAGTAATAGCACCTCCATCAAGGTGTACAAGGCAGAAACCTCCCTCATCCATCCCTTCTGCTCAATCCATCAGCAAGTCCTAGCAGCAGCATCTTAAACATATATTCTGAATTGGATCCTTGCCACCCTAAGCCACGCCATCATCTCACTCCTGGACCTCTTCAGTGGCTCCCTGACTGGTCTCCCTGTGGCCAACCCCCGATTGGTTCTCCAGATCTTGTAAACATACCAGATTCTAGCACTCTCCTTAAAAAAAACCTTTCAATGACTTATTGTTGCACCACAAAGAAGTTCTGAGGGTCTGCCTGCCACATGTAGTGTTCTCCATCTCACCCAATGTTCTCCTGCCTCAGACTTCCCATCTAAAAGGATAGCTCCCTTTGACCCACTGCCTCCCTCTTCTTTTCCTTCAAGCACAGCACAACTCACAATGATAGGTTTGTTCAGTTATTTAAGGTCTGTTTCCACTACCAAATGGAAGACTCCATGAGGGAAAGTTGGCATCCGCCTGTTCACAGTTGAATTTCCGTATGTCTGACACATGACCAATACTTGATGAGCACTGGCTTAATAAATACTGGCCCCCTAAACATCTCCCAGTTCACCACACGCTGGGGTGCTGCTCCCGTCTGCTTTGCCACGTTTTCCCATTCCTTTTCTCAGAAACGTGGCCCACACGAAGGGTCCTTTAGTCCCATACTCCTCTGCTCCCTTCCGCTTTGTTTACTGTTCCTTTCACTCAGCAGAGCTCTTTCAAGGATCATCTCAAGCACTGTGAAGCTTTCCCCTTTTTATTTTTGTTAATCCTCACCCAAGGATATTTTCCCCATTGATTTTTAGTGAGTGGAAGAGAGACACCTTGATTGGTTGCCTCCCACACACACCCCTCGCCAGGGTTGGGGAATCAAGCCTGCGACTGAGATGCACGCCCTTGACCAGAATTGAACGCAGGACCCTTCCGTCCACGGGCTGATGTTATATACACTGAGCCAAATCGGCTAGGGCTTGTGAAGCATTTTCTAACCCCTAACACGTAATGTCCTGACCCTTCTTTGAACCCCAAAGTATATGTGTACGTACAGTAGCCCCCCTGCATCCAAGGGGGATATGCTCTAAGACCTCCAGTGTGTGCCTGAAACCACAGGTAGTGCTGAACCCTATACACACACTGTGTCTTCCTGTATAGGCTCAATGCTCTCTGGTATGACAGGTTGTCATCTACAACAGAACACACTGTTCATGTCTCCCACACACAAATTTAATGCCTTCTCCAACTTAACTAAGCATTTACCATGCACTGTGGCTGCAACTTTTGCACTTTGAGCTGCAACAGCAAAATCAGCACGAATTTCTTCCTCTTTCATAATTTTATAGATACATGTCCTTACTACAGATCTTAGCAACCTAAGCATGTCTTTATTCCCGTAAGTCAAGCACTTTCACTTAAAAGCAGCACTCTACAGCTTCTCTTGGCATCTCAATGGCCAGCATCACTACTCTTGTGCTTTGAGGCCATTACTGAGTAATTTGAGGATTACCCGAACATAAACACAGCAAGTCCATTACAGTCGACCTGGTAACTAAGACAGCTACTAAGGGACTAATCGGCTGGTAATTGGACAAAGGGATGATTCACATCATGGAGAGACAGAGAGGATGGCATAGAACAGCACACTTTCTAAAAAGTATAAATTGTTTATTTCTGGAATTTTCTACTTTGTATTTCTGGGCCACAGATGACCATGGGTAGACGTGAAATTGTGGAAAGCAAACCACAGCTAAGGGGTTGAGGGGGGCTTCTGTAATGACATTCCTTCTGTCCTGCCTTGCCTTAAACTTGGCTTCCGGACTAAATGAGCGCTCAATTTGTGGAATGACAGGACTGAAAACCCTACAGTAATCTTGAAATTCTAGTAAGCACCAGAACCACAAGATGAGCTTATTAAAATATAGGTTCCAGGCCTTGAAGAGGGCTTCCAAGAGAATCTTCAAGTATTATTTATCACTCTGTTGTGAGTTTAAGAACCTCATAGCAGATTAACTTGAAGTGAACAGTCCTCAGACCCAAAGCTCACAGTCATCTTAGAAAGGGAGGGAGTTCAGAGGTTGACAATCCCTACCCTTCCTCATCCAAGAGGTTAGATGAACAAAGACTCCATACTTCTTTGCCTTTCTCTTTTAATCCCCTCCCTGTGTCACCTCTAAAAAAAATGTACCCAGAAATTAAACACAGGGACGCTCAAAGAGCCAAGGCAAGCCAGCCCAAGATCAGAAGGCTCCCTCCCACAGGGGCCAGAGCCTGGATGCTGGTGTCTCCACTCAGAGCCTGGTAGTAAAAGCTGGTGCAGAACAAGGTGGTTCCAGAGGCTAAGAGTAACCCGGCCTGGGGAGATACAAGGAAGAAAACGAGATAATAAGCAAAGGGCAGATTGGACGGAGGGGGTGGGGCTTGTTCAGGGTTAGACCAGGGGTATGTTTACCCAGAGGGGCTTTCTGCAATGGGGCACCCCTAACAGGGCCAGGCTGTGTAAGAAGTGGTGTTTGTTGGCCTTTTCAAAGAGCTGTAAGAAAAAGAAAAAGAGTTATTGGGGGTGGGGGGGTAACTTCCTAAGCAACACCGAAGCCTGGATCTCAGGGGCAAAAGGTCGTCCCCAAACCGAAGTCTCAGCTTGCCCCTCCCGGAGGCACCCAACACCTCAGGCTTTCTGCCCTGGCGGCTCCAAAGTCCCGCATTCCGCCCCTCCCCTCGGGGACCCCCCACTTTGTGCCCTCATAGACCCGGAAACCGGGGAGCCCCAGTGCGGTTACTGCACCTCCTTTCCGTAGGCATCCGGAAACTGGGCGCCTGTGGGAAGGAGAGGCAAAAGTTACCAGCTCAGACGCCCCGTTTCTCGGGGGACCCTCGCGGGCACCGGGGAGAAGGGCGCCCCCAGGAGGCTTCTGACGGCGGAAACACGCACGGGTAGTCCTGGGATCCGACTGAAAGGCTTAGGGATTCGCAGGCTGTGTGGTGCTGCGAGCCCTCCAATCCCCACAGACTCCATCCCCGCACCAGACCCCACGCGTCGCCCCAAGCACAGCCCAGCTCCCCCCCAAGCCCCTGACCGTGGGCCCCGTAGGAGGCCAAGCCCAGGGCCCCGGCTCCAGACAAGGCGCCCAGGCGGCGGAAAGCGGCGCCAGGTCCGGCCATGGCAGTGGATGGTCACGAGCCCGGCGAACACCGCCCAGGCCACCCAGGAGGCCAGCCAATCCCGAGCTTCCATGCAAATCCGGCGCCCGGGTGCCCAATCAGGGCCGTGCTTATTCCGGCGTCCAGGTCTTCACCCCGGTGCCGGCGCCTTTGTAAAGCTCCTGTTGAATGGCGAGGAAGTCTGGCGGCGGAGAAATCGGGACCAATGAGGAGCGGAGGAGCGGAGCGGTAGAGGGGGTGGGACCGGGGGGGCGGGGCTAGGGGATTTGCGTCACGGATTGGCCCACTTTCCAAGTTGATCGCAGCTTCTAACACCCCCTCCCTCCTCCGGCCGATTTCCAAAGACCCAGGTCCCCAAGCTAGTCCCGCCCCTTTCCCCACAGGCTCCTCCTTTCCGGCTTTAAACCAGGCCCACACCCAAAAATAGGCGACCCCGCGGACACCCAAGCCCCACCCATCTCCACCAAACCCCGCCCACCGTCCATAGGGTTCCGCCTCCAGGCCCGCAGGCCCCGCCCTCTTCACTGGATGCCCCGCCCCCTCCGGTTCGCCCCTCCGCCGCCAGCCGCGGGAGCCCCGGGGATGGGCGATCTGGGTGGATGTCTCCATCCTGCCCGATCCGCTTCGTCCATGCGTCGGTCTGTCCACTCCCGCCCTCCTCCACCGTCTCCAACCCCCCACACTCTGGAGGGCGGGCGGGCAGCGGGCGGGTGCGAGCGAGGGGTGTGCGCCGCGCTCTGCAGGGGGCGGGGGAGGCGGCCGCGCGGTGACGCGCGGGGCTGCTGCGGCTGCTCCGCCGACGGATCATCACTCTCGGGCTGGGATGGACGCGGGGCGGGCGGGCCCTGGCGCGCGGAGCCGAGAGTCCGGGCCTCCCGGCTGCTGAGCGAATCCCGAAACCTCCCCTTTACCCCCCTTTCCCTTCTAGGAGCAGTGCTGACCCCCGCCCCGGGGTTCCAGACTCTACTCCCGCCTTCCTCTGACTCCCCGGACCTCCCACTCCCGCCCGCCCTCGGGATCGACTAGATCCCTCCCTCTCCCCGAGGATTCCGGCTGGATCTCTGCCCCTGCACCGCGGATCCTGCTCTCCCGAGCTTCGGGCCCCTGGGGATTGCGGTGGACTCTTCCTCCCGCACCCGATTCCTTAGGATCCTCCGCCGGTACCACCTCTGGTCCCTCGAAGCCGGCCCGCGGAGCCAGTGGATCCTCAATCCAGTCTTGTCCCGTAGCCTCCGCCTCACTCTACTGTCCCCACTGCGGGGTTCCCTGTTCTCGGGTTCCTCCTGACCCCATCCCCTCCCCTCCCCGGGGATCGACTGGATCCCGGCCCCGCCCCCTGGGGCTGGGGTGATCCCCCTCCCCCGCTGGGTGAGGCGCTGCGGGCGGGGGCTGGGCCTGCGGGACCGCGGGGGCTCAGAGGCCGCCGCCCCCTACTCGGAGCCCTGGATGGAGGCACCACGGCCCCAGGGCTGAGCCAGGTAGGAGCTACGCCGGGCCGGGTGGAGGGGACTGCGTGGCGGTCCACTGGGGTCTCCCACTCCCCATCTCTTTCTGCGCCTGGTCTCTCCCAGCCTGCCGTGTCTGCTTGTCTCCGCCTAGGGATGCTCTCGCCTTGTCTCTCCGTCTCAGTCTCTTTGTCTCTGCCTCTCTCCAGCCCATGAATGATCCTTTGAATGGGCCCACAGACCCCGTGTGTTCCCATCTCCCCCTCCCCCTCCTCCCCTTCCCGGCCAAGCTATTTTCCCCCACTGCAGGAAGAGGGGGGGCTGCGGCCTGAGCCCCTATCCCTCAACTCTCCCCGGCTGGGGGAGTCAGGCCTGGGCAGGAATGGAGAGAGCAAGGCAGAGAGATAGGGGGGGGGGGGGCGCCAAGATGTGGCAGACAGAAAGAGAACGGGAGAGGAAATGGGGGAAAGAAGAGAAGGAGAGAGAAATAGAAAAGGCTTGGGGGAGGGATTTGCAGGAGAGAAAAACGAGGAACACTAAGGAGGGAGACAGAGAAGAGAGTGGTGGAAAAAGACTGAGGGTGAGAGGCTGGAGACAAGAGCCGGAGCAGTCTGGCTGAGGCTGGGAAAGGTGCTCGGAGGGAGAGCTATGGAGAGGAAGGAGGGGGGGGGTCAGGGGGAGGGAAGGAGGGAGAGGAGCTGGCGGGGAGAAGGCCAGGGACCCAAAGTACCTTAAGGGAGGAGGGGTGGCGGGCAGAGAGACTGAGTTCGTAGGAGGGGGAGGGGGTGGAAGGCCGTGGAAGCAGAGCCCAGCCTGGCATGGGCAGAGGAGGTCCTGAGGGAGCCCGCCCCAAGCCCCCCAGGGGTGACGGGGGAGCAGAGCTTTGGAGGAACTGGCGGGGGAGGGCATGACGAGGTGTGTGTGTGGGGAAGGATTCCTGTGTCCTCATCTCTGGAATAAATTGACACCTGCAGAGAGCCACCCGCGGGCTGGCGCCTGGCTCCGAAAGCCCCGCGTCAGCAAACAGCTCTGGCAGCTGGGGGGGGGGGGGGCGGAATGACCCTTCAGTCTGATCCTTCTCTTGTCCTGGTCCTGCTGCCCTGGGCACTCGGGCTTCAGAGCAGCATCTGAGGGGAACTGGCAGGGGTGAAGAGCTGAGGGGATGAGAGGAGAGCCTGGGTTTGCCCCCAGGACCCGGGTCACAATGCCATGCATGAAAGAAGTGCCTGTAGTACTAGGCTGTTCAAGACTGGGTGGGTGCATGTGATGCCCTCCAAACCCACCTCAGCACCCCTTCTACCCAGCCAGAGGCCTGGTCACTAGGACTAGGCTCTGATTGGCCAACACGGGCCAAGAGGCGGGTCCTTTAGGGTTCTTTAATGCCCCAATCTTCTACTCCCCTCAACATATATACTTCCTCTATGCCAAGGTTTGGGGAAACTCTGGCATTCTGATTCCTGCCTCTGCCCTCATGCCCAGAATGGACCCCATCACCAAGGCAATCCATCACCCTCTTCCTTCAGACCCGAACCCGCCCCCCCCCCAGGGTTAAAGCTGCAGCCCGTTGCCGAGGTAACATTGCGGGGCAGCATCCCTGTCGCTGGGCAACCGGCTGCAGGATCACGCATCTGTCCCTGGATGTGCCCCCACTCCATCACCCCCTCTCTACGCTAGCCCCCTGCCTCGAGGCATCTTAACTTCTGAGGGGAGAAATGGAGAGAGCCTGGGGGAAAGGACCCCCCTCCCTCCACTGATGCACAAATGCTGGAGGGAGGAGGGTGCTGGGCCTGTGCAGTCCGGGAAAAGGTGGGGGAGTCTGGCCTGGGGTGGGGGTCCAGGGCCATGAAATCACAGCTCCGGAGTAATTAACACGTCTGAGCAAACGCTCCACATCCTGCTAATTAATGACTTGGTATTTTTATTTTCTCTTCCTTGTCTCTCTCATCCCTCCCAGGGAGGTGGGAAGTGGGACTTCTGAGGCCCCGGAGCCTCCTGGTTGGGATGAAGCAGCTGGAAGGAGGCAGGCGGGGTCTGCCGGTCCCCCAGCCTCAGACTTTTCTATCGGGGTCCCTGCTGATGGAGGGGCTTTTAGGGTGGGGAGAAGTGCGGGGGGGCCTGAGGGTGGGAGAGGGGGGGTCAGCCAGTCTGAATTCCAAGTAACTAACCACTTGTCTCTTCTGTTTCCCCATTCCTTTCTGTCTGCCCCTCCCACCTCTCCCGTGTATTTCCTGTCCGTCTGTCTGTATCCTGCGGACCCTCTCCCTTTAACCCACAGGTCCAGCCTGCACTCACTCCTCCCACTTCCTCCCCCTTCCCCACCCCTCGCCCCCTCCATGGAAAGGAACAGACCCCTTCCCTGTCCAGTCTGACCCAGGTCCCTGTCCGCTCCCCTCCTCCCTCCTTTCCCACCCCCTCCTCCCTCCTGGGGCGAGGGGGGGCCTCCCTCCCTCTGCCCCCCCTTCTCTCTCTCTCCGAGGGGGGGGTCCCGGGGAGGGAGGGGGGGTCCCCCTATCAGCATGTGGCTCCTGGCGCTGTGGCTGGTGGGGCTGGTGGGGGCTCAGCGCGGGGGAGGGGGTCCCGGAGGCGGCGCCCCAGGCGGGCCTGGCCTGGGCCTCGGCAGCCTCGGGGAGGAGCGCTTCCCGGTGGTGAACACGGCCTACGGGCGAGTGCGCGGCGTGCGACGTGAGCTCAACAACGAGATCCTGGGCCCGGTGGTGCAGTTCCTGGGCGTGCCCTACGCCACGCCACCCCTGGGCGCCCGCCGCTTCCAGCCGCCCGAGGCCCCCGCCTCGTGGCCCGGCGTCCGCAACGCCACCGCCCTGCCGCCCGCCTGCCCGCAGAACCTGCACGGCGCGCTGCCCGCCATCATGCTGCCCGTGTGGTTCACCGACAACCTGGAGGCAGCCGCCACCTACGTGCAGAACCAGAGCGAGGACTGCCTGTACCTCAACCTCTACGTGCCCACCGAGGACGGTAAGGGCGCGGGCACCAGGCGGGCATCCCGCGGGCACAGCCCCCGGACACGCATGCAGCACCTCAGGCCCGGGCACAGCCCGGGATGGGAGCTGGCTCTGTGGAGACAGGGAGCGGGCAGTGTATCCCTGCCGGCTCTATGCCCTCCCTGGGGGGGTTGGGTGCCAGCTGAGCTGTCCCCGGAATGACTCCCATGTAGGCAGCACCCAGGAGCTCACTGCCCATAGAGCCAGTGGGAAAGTCAGCAGGCACTAGGCTGGACTTACCTTCCCTAACCCCACAGAGGAAGCATCCGTCACCCTGCCTGGGCACCCACTCCAGCTCTGCCCCACCTCCCCCACCCCCACCCCCAGGCCTGGACTGGTGCCTGGCTTGTCCACTTTGGCAGCACCTTTCCGGTGAGGACAGCTTAGACCCTCTTTCCCCCAGACCAGTACTGCAGACTTCCGTCTGTCACATCACGCTGAGCCTCTTCTCCAGGATGCTGTGTCCTCTGACTCCAGACCCCAAGGATCAGGGAAACTCCCAGCACAGCCCGCCCTCCCCTCAGAACGTCTCCCTGCCCTTCACCGGGCTGTCTGGTCACTAAGCTCTCAGTTCACTACGGCTCTGCTCACAGACCCCCGGCCAGGCTCCGCCTGCCCCCCTGCAGCATGCTGAGGTGAGCAGAGCATCTTTCAGAGTGCCTTCCGGCTGTCTACACCAGAGGCAATCAGCAGTACGCCAGCCACCTCCACAGACCATCCTCACAGCCCATGGTAGCCTCTCACATGCATGTCACTACAGAGTGCCTCACCCCTCAACGGAGACCACCCCTCCCACACCCCCACAGGCATTTTCCAACAACTTTACACATAGATCTGGTACCAGGAACCCCTCTGTGTACACCCTGCATCCAACACCCCCATATCGTGTACTCACATCCCTCAACGGGATCAGGGATCTCAACTACACAACATTCCGATCACGTACCCAACCAACCTACACCCTGACCATCTAGATCAGGGGTGGGGACATCTGGCCCGTGAAAGCATTTGGTCTGGCCCTGTCAAGGCAGCGGGGGTGAGTTAATGAACTGTTTGACCAAATAGAGAGGCTAATTTTTTTTATTTATATTTTATTGATTTTTTACAGAGAGGAAGGGAGAGAGATAGAGAGCTAGAAACATCGATGAGAGAGAAACATCGACCAGCTGCCTCTTGCACACCCCCTACCAGGGATGTGCCCGCAACCAATATACATGCCCTTGACCGGAATTGAACCCAGAACCTTTCAGTCCGCAGACCAACGCTCTACCACTGAGCCAAACCAGTTTCGGCAGAGAGGCTAATTTTTAAGTTGATAATTTTGTATGTCTAAGAATGATGGTATAAATATGTGTTCCAACACCCTACAGACTACAATTCCCAACCCCTTCACACAGCACACACCCCGACAGACACTTCTCTAAAATTGTGCTTCCCATCACACACCTGTGGCTCCCAATCTCCCTGGATATGGATCACGTGCCTAGAAACACCCACAGAGAGATCTTTATCCCAATAGCAGTGCGCCTGGGCCATGTGCTCCCTCAGGCCATCCAGACCACAGTCCCTGGACCCAAAGCCCTCTCATGCAACCTCAGGACACCTCCTGTACCTCAACCAACATGTGTCCTTTCCAACAACTTTAGGAACCATCTTCCCTATATTGCTCATACCAACCATGTACCCCAACACCCTAACTACCGATATAAACCGTACCTCGTAGTAACCCATACACACAATGCCCAGAAGTATCATTTATTCTGATCTCATCCAGAGTCCAGGCATCCTAATAGGTCACGTACTGAACACCCTCTGTGTGAGAACCATCCACTCCACCTTCTTCTGCCGCCCATGGATTACTCATTCCAACATCCCAACCAGTATTCTTCGATGAACTCTTCACCCCAGTGCTTCCACACAGACCGTCCATCTCAGCACTCCCCATTCATGGACTCTCCACTCCCACATCTTCATACAGGCTGTCCAACCCATGTCCTCCTCCGAGGGTGGTCTCATCACCTTCCGTGTGAACCATCCACCCAAAACTTCCCGCCCATAGACTGTCTACCCCAACACCCATATAAATTACCCACCCTGCCCCACACCGCCCAGGCCCACACCTTCTGTATTTTTAACCATCACTTACTGCCAACCTGCTTGGGGCCTGACACATGCAGGCGATCTCACTGAGTCCTCACATCAGCTGTGGAAGGAAGAGGTTGACTCAGGCGCACACACAGACAACATAGACACTTGATATCCTCACGTACACGCCTGCCTTGCTGACTTCACCCATCCTCATCCTGCCGCAGAGAACGCCCTGATCTTAATAGGTCCTCAGGGTCCATTGTCGCCAGTTCGGGAGCAGCCTTCCTCAGGCTGGCCCGGGCCTTGCTGACCCACCCCTCCCTCTGTGGTTGAGGTGAAACCAGTCAGCCTGGGGAAACCCCCTCAGGCCCCTGGGTTCCAAATCTCCCCTGAAAGAAACCTGGAGCCAGACTCGGCCTCGGTCAGGGATCTTTTCTTGACAGTGGGCCACGGGCACACTTTGTGCCTCCGAGCACTTCCTGGCACTGTGCTTCCTGTTCCCTATTTGTGGACTGAACCCCTGCATCGGGGGCGGGGGCTTTTTGGCATTAAAACAAGGTTTGATGAGGGGCGAGTGCCCCTGGTGGGACATTTGCCATTTGGGGGGAGAGCAGGCCTGGGTAGGGGTGAGGTTTTGCGGGGAGGGGTACAGAGGGAAGAGGTGGAGTGGAGGGCAAGACCTGATGACCCCTTTCCCTGCTTCGCCCCACGTTGGGGAGGTGGGGTGAGAAGCCAGGCCTGTGAGTGCGGATGGAAGGGAGATGCTGGGGCTGAGAGGCGGGGTAGGTGGGCAGGCAGCCTCAGCTGACCTACCCACAGCCCTCCAGGTGGGTCCAGAGGGAAGCAGAGTCCTTTCTGCTGCAGCCCCTCCTCTCCGCAGCCTTGGGGAGCAGGCAGGTGCTTGGCTGGCCCTGAGGAGGGTCCTCGGGGGTGGTGGCCACGTGGCACAGCTGGCCTTGGTCCCCAGCGAGGCTTCCCCTCCCCTCCAACCTCCCCTCTAACACAGTTTCATTTCCAGCAACTAGCCAACCCACCGGCAAGCCAGATCCTTTCCAGCCGAGTCCATATGTCCTAAGACAGGCCTCAGCCCACTTAGGCCCGCCCCCCCCTCGCCCCCGCCCCCAAAGCAAGCCTTTTCTTGGGGGCATGACTTTTTCCGGGGAGGGGAACAAAACTGGGTTGTAGAAACGTTTTTCTCTTTTCTTGGTTTCTTTTTCTTGCAAACAAATTTTGCTTTTTTTGGCTTATTTTTTCTGCCCCCCCATCCTCCCCTTTTCTGCGTTCTGTCCTCCCTTCCCCATCCACAACCTCCCCCGACCCCCATCTTTCCCCACAAAATTGTCCTTTTTTCTCTGTTTTGTGTTCCCGGTCTTAGGTCCGCTCACAAAAAAACGTGACGAGGCGACGCTCAATCCGCCAGACACAGGTAGATTTAAAAATCCCGCTGCTGCATGTGGTTGCTGATCAGAGGACGTTCTCTCACGGCCCTGCCCCTAACTAAACGCCCCCACAGCCCTCCAGGCCCTCAGTTGTTCTCCCAACTAAACACGAAAAAGAAAAGAAAAGAAAAATTTATTAATAATTGGAAAAAAGAATTATGAAAACTTCAAACGAAATTTGAACAATGTTGGACCCACTAGAAAACCTGCAAGAAAAGCTAAACATGGTGAAAACAAAATGAAAAAAAAAAAATTGGAATGTCAGAAAAAAAATAAAACACCAAAGAATTGGATAAAATGTTTAGAGTTTGACAGAAATTTGGACTGTTTTGGAACTTGTGAAATGTAACACTTGAAAAAAACAATTTAAATTTGAAGCAAAACATTTGAAAAAAAAAAAAAAGTAAGATGGCAAACTGATGACACAATTTTTGAAACATCAGAAACCTGCTACAATTTCCAAAAGCCTGTCAGATAAGAAAACGCAAACATTGGAAGCCAATGAAAGGATTTGGAAATTTTTGAAAACAGGGCCCAATATCTTGAAGTTTCACCACAAAATTTTGAAAAATAAAATGCAAAGAACTTTTTTTTTTTCTTTTTTTTCCAAAAAACGGATCTTTTTTTTTTCTTCTTCTTCTTCTTGTTGAATCTGCCCCAAGAGCTTCTTGCTTTTTGGTTGTTTTTCTTTCTTGATCCCGTTTTTTGTTGTGGGTTTTGAATTCTTGTTGCCCCAGCCCCCTTCCCTTTGTGACTCCCCCCTCCCCCCACTCGGGAGTGGAGGTGCTGGGTGGGGAAGAGGAGGGAACTAAGGACATTTAGGACAGGACTTGGACTCCAGCTTGAACTTGCTGGAAGGCCACTGGAGGTTCAGGAACAAGGGGAAATTCGGGGAGGACCCAGAGGGGGCACTGCCCACCCAGGAGCTCCTGGCCAAAGTCAGGCAGAGAAGGTCCTAAGAGACAGGAGGCAGGGAGCTGTCTGCAGGGGGTGGAGGAAAGTATCTTAGTGACCTGTTGACCCTCTGGCTAGAAGAAGTTCCTAGCAGGATGCAGGAGGCTGGCCATGAAAATCCACTGTGGAGGCCGGGCCTGGCTCTTGAGTGCCCAGGCTAGGCAGAGGCTGCAGGTGCCAAGAAAGAGGCAGGCCTGTGGGCCAGGGGTCACCCAGCCCTGGTGCTCTGATGGGTCACGAGAGGCTGCAGGAGAGGGAACTTCCTTTGTATATAGTCTTGGGGACTGTCCAGTCTGGAGTGCCTCAGAGTCTCCTGCCTGGAGCAGTGATGATGGGATCCTCTGGGGACGTGACAAGAGAAAGGGCTGGTGCAGAACCCAGGGCCCCCCAGTTTGCAGGGGGTTCCCAGACTAAAGAGTGGCACCCTGGCTTCATTAAGCAGGCTCTTTCCCACCCTGCCTCCTTCTGCCATAGTAATTAGGCTGGGGGTTGCCATGGTGACTGGGGAGGTGACCTAGAAAGGAATTAGGGCGGGGAGGAGACCAAGCCCCCAGGGACCCTAGGGCCTGGCACCCCCTCATGGACAGACTAGGCTACCATGTGGAGCTGAGCCCCAAGGCCTAAGTCTGAGAAGAGGCCAGGACCTCCCAGCACCTTCAGCTCCAGGGTCACCCGTAGGGGCGTGCTCTTCCAGGCGCAGGAAGGAGATTTGCTGCGTGTGTGTGTGGGGAGGGTTCCCTGCGTCCAGATGCCCCGAGGAGGGCCACATCCCGCCCCTGCCTCTGCCAGGCCTCCTGGAAGGCCTGCCAGGCTTCGGAAGAAGTGCGGTGGAGCAGGCTGGCAGGAGGTGGGGAGGGACCTCCAGAGCTAGCTGGGGCGGGAGGGAGGGGAATCCGGTCTTGCCCCCCAGGGATGGGAATGGCATGTCCCCTGAGCTCTGGGCTGGTCGTCAGCAGGCCTGGGAGCTGGGAGGAGCCGCTTCTGGTCTCACTGTGTCCTTGTCCCCCGCTCCCGGCCCACCTGCCCCCCCCCCCTTCCCCACAGATATCCGGGACTCGGGGAAGAAGCCTGTGATGCTGTTTCTGCACAGCGGCTCCTACATGGAGGGCACTGGGAACATGTTCGACGGCTCTGTCCTGGCCGCCTATGGCAACGTCATCGTAGCCACGCTCAACTACCGGCTTGGGGTGCTCGGTGAGGGAGGGCAGCCCCACCTGTGGAGTTTGGGACGGGGGCCTGCTGGGTGGGGGCCTGTAAACCCAGCAGCACAAGACGGCTTCTGGGATGGACTGAGCTGCCCACATAAGGGACAGGACACTGTCACACCCCCAGGCAGCCAGCCCCCTCTCTGCCTTCCCCCCAAGGCTTCCTCAGCACCGGGGACCAGGCCGCGAAAGGCAACTACGGGCTCCTGGACCAGATCCAGGCCCTGCGCTGGCTCAGCGAGAACATCGCCCACTTCGGGGGGGACCCCGAGCGCATCACCATCTTCGGGTCCGGGGCGGGCGCATCCTGCGTCAACCTCCTGATCCTCTCCCACCATTCGGAAGGTACCAGCCGCCTCCTCGGCCCCCAGGCCCGCCCTCTTCCCGCACCCCTGAACCTGCCGGGTCCCCCTTCTCTCTCGGGTTGGCACCGCCCGGCCTGAAGCTTGCCTGTCCCCCAGGGCTGTTCCAGAAGGCCATCGCCCAGAGCGGCACGGCCATCTCCAGCTGGTCTGTCAACTACCAGCCGCTCAAGTACACGCGGCTGCTGGCGGCCAAGGTGGGCTGCGACCGCGAGGACAGCGCCGAGGCGGTGGAGTGTCTGCGCCGGAAGCCCTCCCGGGAGCTGGTGGACCAGGACGTGCAGCCCGCCCGGTACGGGGTGGGAGGGGCCAGGGCCAGGGCGGTTGAGGGGTCTGCGGGCATTGGACTTGGCAGAGGAGAGGTGGCTTCAGGCTCCCGTGCTGGCCCTGTCTTCTTCTCTCGGAAGCCTTCTCCACGTTTGCTCAGGGTGCCAGAAAGGGCTCCAGAGAAGACTCCACACACACACACACACACACACACACACACACAGGCCCAGCGCCCTGGGGGTTCCTAGGAGTGTTAACGAGGGAGCGGTGTCTTCGGGGCTGAGGCTCAGCGAGCCCTGAGCCGGGCGGAGGCCGGGGAGCGGGTGCTGAGACCCTCCCCTCTCCCCAGCTACCACATCGCCTTCGGGCCCGTGGTGGACGGCGACGTGGTCCCCGACGACCCCGAGATCCTCATGCAGCAGGGGGAGTTCCTGAACTACGACATGCTCATCGGCGTCAACCAAGGCGAGGGCCTCAAGTTCGTGGAGGACTCGGCGGAGAGCGAGGACGGCGTGTCCGCCAGCGCCTTCGACTTCACCGTCTCCAACTTCGTGGACAACCTGTATGGCTACCCCGAGGGCAAGGACGTGCTGCGGGAGACCATCAAGTTTATGTACACGGACTGGGCCGACCGGGACAACGGTGAGATGCGGCGCAAGACCCTGCTGGCCCTCTTTACCGATCACCAGTGGGTGGCGCCGGCCGTGGCCACCGCCAAGCTGCATGCCGACTACCAGTCCCCCGTCTACTTTTACACCTTCTACCACCACTGCCAGGCCGAGGGCCGGCCCGAGTGGGCGGACGCTGCGCACGGGGACGAGCTCCCCTACGTCTTCGGTGTGCCCATGGTGGGCGCCACCGACCTCTTCCCCTGCAATTTCTCTAAGAACGATGTCATGCTCAGCGCCGTGGTCATGACCTACTGGACCAACTTCGCCAAGACTGGGTGAGGGCCAGAGGGGCGGGGCGGGGCTCCACGCAGGCCAGGGCGCACCTCTGCCTCCGGCCCTCCTCCCTCTCACCCCCTCGCCGGGCCACCTGTAACGGGCACCCTTGCCTTTTCAATTCAGACACCTGCCGGCCGGCCGCTCTGTGCCAGGCACTGAGTGGCGTGTTGGAGAGTCAGCAGTTAAACGGAGAGGCCCTGTCCCTTCCGGGGTGGGCTCACTTGGTGGCTTTGGCTCCATGTCTGTCTCTTCAGCCCTCCCTTGTCTGGTCACCCTCCCTCTCTCTCCTCCCAGGGCTCTGCCCTCGGACTGCTCCAATCTGTGTAGGAGTGTGCATGAGCGTTTGTGTCTGTCTTTCTGTCTCTTTATTGCTGTCTCTACATCTCTCACTCTTTTTTAAAAATATATATATTATTGTTTTTTTACAGAGAGAGAGAGGGATAGAGAGAAACATCTATGAGAGAGAAACATTGATCAGCTGCCAAGGTACATGCCCTTGACCGGAATTAAACCCGGGGGACCCTTCAGTCCGCAGGCTGAAACTCTATCCACTGAGCCAAACCGGTTTCAGCTATCTCTCACTTCTTTCTTTTTTTTTTCTTTTTAATATATTTCATTGATTTTTTTTACAGAGAAAAAAGGAGAGGGATAGAGAGTTAGAAACATCGATGAGAGAGAGAGACATCGATCGGCTGCCTCCTGCACCCCCCCCACTGGGGATGTGCCCGCAACCATGGCACATGCCCCTGACTGGAATCCAACCTGGGACCCTTAAGTCCACAGGCCGACGCTCTATCCACTGAGCAAACCAGTCTCAGCTATCTCTCCCTCTCCCTTTGACCCGTTTGCTTCTTGTTGCTCATTTCACCCTGGCTGTCTTTCATGTGTCTTTGTCTTCCTGTTTCTACAGGTCTCTGTCTCTGTCTCAGCCTCTGCCTCTCTCACTGGCTGTTTCTCCCTCTCTGCTTATCTCTGTCCCTCTGTCCTTGTCTCTGTCTCTAGCAGTCTGTCTCCTTCCCTCTTTGTCTGTCTGTGTCTCCGGCAATTTCTCTCTCTTCGTATCCATCCTTGCCTCTCTTTTTCTCTGACTTTCCTCTGTCCCCCTGGCTCTAGGCATCTCTGTCTCCCTCCCCAGTCCTCCCCCACCTTCCCACACGGTCGGCACCTCACCCTCACTCCTCCTTTCTCCGCCCTCCTGTGCCCACAGCGACCCCAACCAGCCCGTGCCGCAGGACACCAAGTTCATCCACACCAAGCCCAACCGCTTCGAGGAGGTGGTGTGGAGCAAGTTCAACAGCAAGGAGAAGCAGTACCTGCACATCGGCCTGAAGCCGCGCGTGCGTGACAACTACCGTGCCAACAAGGTGGCCTTCTGGCTGGAGCTGGTGCCCCACCTGCACAACCTGCACATGGAGATCACCACCACCACCACGCGCCTGCCGCCCTACGCCACGCGCTGGCCGCCCCGCCCGCCGCCCGGCGCCCCGGGCACGCGCCGGCCCCCGTCGCCGGCCACGCCGCCGCCCGAGCCCGAGCTGGAGCCGGGCCCCCGGGCCTACGACCGCCTGCCCGGGGACTCCCGGGACTACTCCACGGAGCTGAGCGTCACCGTGGCCGTGGGCGCCTCGCTGCTCTTCCTCAACATCCTGGCCTTCGCCGCCCTCTACTACAAGCGGGACCGGCGGCAGGAGCTGCGGTGCCGGCGGCTCAGCCCCCCCGGGGGGTCGGGCTCCGGGGTGCCCGGTGGGGGCCCCCTGCTCCCCACCACGGGCCGGGAGCTGCCCCCGGAAGAGGAGCTGGTGTCGCTGCAGCTGAAACGGGGCGGCGGCGTCGGGGCAGACCCTGCCGAGGCCCTCCGCCCCGCCTGCCCGCCCGACTACACCCTGGCCCTGCGCCGGGCGCCAGACGATGTGCCTCTCCTGGCCCCCGGGGCGCTGACCCTGCTGCCCAGCGGCCTGGGACCGCCGCCGCCCCCGCCGCCGCCCGCCATGCACCCGTTCGGGCCCTTCCCCCCGCCGCCCCCCGCCGCCGCCGGCCACAACAACACGCTGCCCCATCCCCACTCCACCACCCGCGTATAGGGCACAGCGGGGGGCTCCTCCCGCCCTCTCGCCGGCCGGAAGTGCCGCCGGCCGGAAGTGCCGCCGGCGCGCGGGAGGAGGCCCCGGAAGAGGCTCTTCTCGTCCCACGTGGAGGCCCGCTGGGCGGACGTGGGTCTCCTCGCCGGGATGCGGGCTCTCCCACGGCCAGAGGCCCCTCTCTCCTCGGACCTGGGCCTTGGACACCTGGAGGGCGCTCTGTCCCCTCCCCCGGGCGCCGGCCCTCGGTGTGCGGAGTGGGGGGTCCTCCCGCTGGCGGCGTGCTTTCTCACGGGGGTGTTTTCCCATGTGCAGGGTGAGGTTTTTTTTTGCCGCCCTGGACACATGCTGGCCCTCTCAGAGAATTTCTGCGGGGATTTGTACCCCAGAACCATACTCCCTCATGCCTTCTCCCACCCTTCTTCCCCCCACCCCCACCCCGCGGAGGCCCCGGAAGTGGTGTGTTCATGTGCAGTGACCCTCGGCCGCAGGACAACACAGGGGGGTTCTGGGAAGCAGCGAGGAAACCAGCCCCTTCCCACGCCGCACCCCGCCCTGGGGAAGCATGTGTCCCCCTCCCCGCGGCACAAGTCAGTGGAGCATGGGCTCCTAGGGAGGCCTCGCCTTCCACAGCCACAGTCCCTGCAGGGATGGGAGGTTCGGGCACGCTCTGAGTGGAAACATGTTCTTGCATGTGGATGTGTGTTTTCCCATGCAGATGGCCCCTTCTCTCCAGTACCTCCCTGCCTCCCCCAGGCCTCAGGCCCAGCACCTATTTCCTCCTCACACAGCAGGTGGGAACAGGCTTCAGACTGACAGAAGCTGAGGGGGGTGCATAAACCCTGAGGGGAGAGCCCTGCTCCTCCTTCCCCCGGAGCTGTGGGGTCAGGGGCATGGGAATGCCTCCCCTAGAGGCCGTGCATGTTTGACCAAAGCCCTCACTGGGGTCTGGGGACAGCCTTTCCCTCAGTCCTCAGACCGTTACTCATCTGTGCCAAACTGGGTAGGTGGGTTTGCCAAGGACTCCAGTCCTGGGCCAGAGCAGGTACATGTGGGAGCAGGTGGGATACAGGAGGGGGAAGTGGCAGCTATAGGGTCCTACCTGTGTCTCTCTTGTATCCTCGTCCCTCTGTGCCTCATCCCTCGCCCGAGCCTCCGTTTCCTCTTCCCACACCTCTTCCTCCCTCTTTGAAGCCATCCCTGTGTCTCGGTGTCAAGCCAGCCTGTCCCCTCAGCTGCCCATTCCCTCTGTGTGACCTGCCCCCTCTCCCCTCAGCTGCCAGGGCTGGAGAAAGGAGCCATGGAGGGTGAGGGGAGGAGAGCCAGGGAGGAAGTCTTCATGGTTGGGGAGAGAAGGAGGTCAGCCTGCGGAGAACCAGATGGAGGGGGCTATAGAGGCCAGGTCTTGGTCCGACACCGGCGGAAGGATTTGAAAGGACGTGTGTAAGGTGGCCGCCCAGAGGGGACCTGAGCCTGCAGGGAAAGGAGCCTGGTCAGGAAGGGTTTTGAGGGACACCAGTGGCGGAGAGAATCCTTGTCTGCTAGCATGTGGTGGGCTGCTAGTGCCAAACTTGAGTTGGGGCTGGGGTGCTGTCTTCCGCCGACATCCGGATCCGGAATCCCTGGTCTTCGCTCCCCAGCATTTTGCCTCTTGACCACCCCTTCTCCCTCCCCCTGCCTGGTCCAGTTCCTTTCCAAACAGCCATGCCCTCTACATGCCAGGGCCCTGGGCCCTGAACCCGATAGACAGATGTCTCACAAACTGGGGCATGGGAGAGGGGCTGGGGGACCCCATGATTCAGCCACGGACTCCAATGCCCAATCCCTCTCCCCGGAACAGTTCCCTGACAGCCCCGTGTCCCTGCCCTTCGCAGCTCTGTACACATTTTTAAACCTGGCAAAAGATGAAGAGAATATTGTAAATATAAAGTTTAACTGTTGCTGATGCCTGCTGTGATGCTAGGGGTCCGGGGCAGGGGGCTTGAAGAAACCAGCCTTGGGGATGTGACTGCTGATGCGGGAGGGGTGTCCCCACAGCCCTTCCCAGTGACTAGCTGAGGCCTATTCACTGAAGGGGAGTGGGTGCTGAGTACGGTTGCCATGGTAATGGGGCTATTTAGGGAGGAAAGATGCGGACCCACCCTGGCCCGGTGGCTCAGTTAGTTGGAGCATTAGTATGTTCCATATACCAAAAGGTTTTGGGTTTGATTCCTGGTCTCACAGCCAAGTTGTGGGTTTGATCCCTGATCCTGGTGTGTACTTTCTCTGTCTCTCAACATATCCTCAGTGAGGATTAAAAAAAAAAGGATTAGGACCCGTGTCTGCAGAGGACTGAGCGTGGTGCAGAAAAGGACCAACTGGGCTGATGGGCGCAGACACCAGCAGGCTGGAGGGCCTAGTTCGCTGGTCCAGGTAGCCGGCCACAGGAGAGGCGGGCAAGGGGAGGGCCGTGGCTTCTGCAGGGTCTGGGCCCAGGCTGGAGGGTTACTCCTGGCCCCAGGACGCCCCCTCTTGGCACATTGTGAGGGAGAGCCCCAGCATCATTGTGACCCGCTGACCCCCAGGAGCCTCTGGGGCAGGCAGGCGGGCAGCTGGCCACGGTGGCACAGTGGGTTGGGGGTCTAGGGGCCCCGGTGGTCCTGCGGACCCCCATGGCTGTGGCTGAGCCACCATGGCCCAGGTGCGCCTCGTACCACAGCCCCAACACCAACAACTGCCAGGACCTGGGCAACTCTATCCTGTTGCTGCTGGGCCTCATCATCTGCATGAACATTTGCATCAACATAGTGACGCTGGTGAGGGCAGGGCTGGGTGGGAGGGTGCTGGCAGGCTGGCTGGGGCAGGCCTGGTGGCCAGAGACTTCCTGGGGTCACTGTGCCCTTCCCCCAGCTCTGGCGCAGACTCCGTTGCTTCTTACACCAACTGTTCTGCAATATTATTTCTGCAAGAGGTAAGCTGGGCCTGAGGGGTTAGGGCAGGGGAGGGGCAGAAACCCAGAGTTCTCGCCCTTGACCCTCAGCTGGCCCCACCCCCTCCCAGTCTCCCGTCTCAGATGCCATAGCTGTGCAGCTTCTCGCCCCGAACCCTGCCGTCTGCCCCTGTGGGACCCAGAGTCCCCGCAGCCTCTCCCCTCTCCCTGTCCACAGAAGCTTCTAAGTCATTCTCAGCTAGAAAGAAGACCCAGCAGAGCTCCCCTGCAGTCCATCTTCGATGCACCATGGACCCTGTGAAAATGACCGTGACCCCCCGGCCCGCTCGCCGCCAGCGCCGTCGCGGCAGGTCAGCGCGCCGTGCCCACCACCCAGCCTGGGACACTGACGAGGAGGAGAGGCTCCCTCACCAGCACGGGGCGATCTGCTCCCACAACTGGAATCACCCCTCGGACTGGGACGACTGCCACTCCACCCAGGAGTACTGGGATCCCTGTGCCCAGGACACTGCAGGGATGCATACCCCGGGCATTCGCTTCCAGCAGGACGTAGACGGATCACCCCTCAAGAGAGAGATGCGGTCAGAGATGAGCCTAGAGGCCTACGTGTACCCCGTGAACCCCCCGCCCCCCAGCCCACAGCGCCACAGGAACAAAGGAGGGAGGGCGGGCTACGAGGAGGGGGAGGAGCAGTGCTCCACCGACCCCTCCGCCCCACCACCCGTCAGGGGGCCAGCAAATGTCCCAGATATCCCCAGTAAGCACCACTCCCGCCACCTAGTGTACGACGCCCTAGACGTGAGGCGGCGGCTGCGGGAGCTGACCCGGGAGGTGGAGGCGCTGGCCCACTGTTACCCCGCTGCTGAAGGGGGGAACAAGGACTGGTCATACCGTCCCCTGGTGGACTGGCGACTGGAAGGAGAATAAAAAAAAGAGAGAAGCTGGTGTGTGGTGGTTTGGAGTGGGGGAGGGGGAAAGGGAAAGGTGGAGGGGGGGGGGGGCCTGTGCTAGGGATCGCTCAGCTCCTAGGAGCCTTGGTTGCTAAGGAAATGATCTCCTTGGGAACAGGGCCTGGAGAGCCCTGAGGACCCTCATCAACCTCTTGGCCTCAGCCTGTGAACCCTGTCCTCAGTCCTTTTCCGGGCCTTCTTGGTTGTACAGTTCCCATCTGCCTCTGCCCAGTTCTCTCCAGAGCCCAGAACGGCCCCGCCAGTCCACACAGACAGGCAGGCAGCCCCACACCGGGAGGGAGACCTTCATCCCGGCTCTGGGCCCCAGTGGTCTGGCTCCTGCCAGAGCCCCAGTTTAGGCTACAGCTGCAGGTGAGGTGTGATTCCCTCTCAACCCTTGTTTCTTCTTCTTTTTAAAATCTTTAAACCTTTTTTTAAAAAATATATATATTGTATTCATTTTTTTAAAGAGAGGAAGGGAGAAGAATAGAGCGTTAGAAACATCGATGTGAGAGAAACATCGATCAGCTGCCTCTTGCACACCCCCTGCTGGGGATGTGCCTGCAACCGAGGTACATGCCCTTGACCGGAATCAAACCTGGGACCTTTCAGTCCACAGGCTGACGCTCTATCCACTGAGCCAAACCGGTTTCGGCTAAACTTTTTTTTTTTTTTTTAAATAAATAAATAAATAAATATATATATATATATATATATATATATATATATATATATATATATGTATGTGTGTGTGTGTATATATATATATATATATATATATATATATATATATTTTTTTTTTTTTTTTTAATTCTCACCCCAGGATATTTTTCCTGAGATTTCCAGAGAGAGTAGAAGGGAGGGAGGGAGGGAGAGAGGGAGGGGGAGAGAGAGAGAGAGAGAGAGAGAGAGGAGAGAGAGAGAGAGAAACATCGGTGTGAGAGAGACACATTGATTGGCTGCCTCCACATGCACCTCTACTGGGGTCCGGGGATCCTGCAATGAAGGTACGTGCTCTTGCCCAGGACTAACCACTGAACAAACTAGTCAGGGCTCAACCCTTGCTTCTTTGGGGAGGGATAAGTGAGAGTGAAGGTAGCCAGGCCCTCACAGTTCCCCAATCAGAATTCAAGTTCCTGTATCCTTAAGCAGGCTTAGAGTAGAGGATGAGAAATTGGGGACACTCGCAAGGGTTGTGACCTCCCTCTTCTGATTCATATCTCCATGTCACACGTGAGGAGACAAGCTCAGAGAGGCCAAGTGACTGCTGAGGGGTGGACAAGGACTGGGCATGCCATCGCCCAACAGGTGACTGGAGAAGAACGAGAGAGCGAGCGAGCAGGGGGCAGGGCGGAGGCTGGTTTGTGGTGGTTTGGTGGGGGTGGGGGAGGTCAGTCACACAGACACCACAGATCAACGTCAAGGCCTCGGATGCCTCATCCCCCCGCTTCTGCAGGTAGAATCCCATTGCCACTGAGTCAGCTTCGCCCATCAGTCTCCCCCACCTTCCTGGGTTTGCCATGTGAACTCTTCAGAATATTCCATCCACTGGAGAGCAGCTGGGACCACACACACACACACACACACACACACAGCTTGGGAATAAGAAGCCATGTGAGGCACCCATGCTGAAGCAGCTGGCCCTCACCTTCATACGGATGGGCTCCTGGAATGGGAGAAGACAGGCCTTTAGTGTAGGGGTGTCGAACTCAATCAGAGAAGGGGCCAAAATCTAAAATCCAGCCTAAATCGCGGGCCGAATGGTTTACTGAACAGTCATAAACTGTCATTGTGATGGAAACGCAGCGGAGTGCAGTGATGACAGTGCGGTACGGGCCACATTGCAAGGCCTGGCGGGACAGATTTGGCCCTCGGGCCTTGTGTTTGACACATGTGCTTTAGTGAATCGCCCTACTTCTCTGTTCATTTTCATTCCGTTAATGCCACTATCGGTTGCAGCTGATTCCATTCAGTGGGTAGGTACTGAGCACCTACTCTGTGTTTGGAGCCTTGAAGGAAAATGCTGAGTAGTTTATTGTGCTTTTTTTTTATATATATATTTATTGATTGCAATGTGGCCCGCACAGCGCTGTCATCACTGCACTCCGCTGCGTTTCCATCACAATGACAGTTTATGACTGTTCAGTAAACCATTCGGCCCGTGATTTAGGCTGGATTTTAGATTTTGGCCCCTTCTCTGATTGAGTTCGACACCCCTACTGTAGAGAGAGGAAGGGAGAGAGATAGAGAGTTAGATACATCGATGAGAGAGAGTCATCGATCAGCTGCCTCTTGCACACCCCCTACTGGGGATATGCCCGCAACCAAGGTACATGCCCTTGACCGGAATCAAACCCGGGACCCTTCAGTCCCCAAGCCAACGCTCTATCCACTGAGCCAAACCGGTCTTGGCTTATTGTGCTTTTGACAAATGACTTATGGTACCCAGGGCATCCCTTTCATAGACACCAGTGATGAACCTGATTTAAATAAAAAATAAAAACTGGCCGAAACAGGTTTAGCTCAGTGGATAGAGCGTTGGCTTGGGGACTGAAGGGTCCCGGGTTCGATTCGGGCCAAGGGCATGTACATTGGTTGCGGGCACATCCCCAGTAGGGAGTGTGCAAGAGGCAGCTGTTGATGTTCTCTCTCATCGATGTTTCTAGCTCCCTGTCCCTCTCCCTTCCTCTCTGTAAGAAACCAAGATGGAGGCGTAGGTAAACTACTGGTCTGCCGCTCGCACAACAATTTAAAAAATGAAAACTAATACAAAGGACATCTATCACCACGGGAAGGCTGGCTGAAAGAGAGGGGAGCCCAAGTGCTGAAAAGCTGAGGAGCCTGAGGAGCACGCGAATTGGGCTGGTGGTGGGTGACTAGGCGCACAGCGAGGCTTTTCTTTTCAACCTGAAAGGAAACAAGCTCCCTATCACTTTGAAATCCAGTTTCTGGGGTCATGTGGGGGACTCAGACACCTACAGGGAGAAGCTGGCCTGTCGGCCATTGGGGCCTAAGTGAGGGTGACTCTGGCACAGGTGGGCACAGCAATCATTGTTTACTGCGCTGGACCGCGGGGAAGCGGGGACTTGGAAACACGAGAGGGCAAGGATGGCTGACGGCAGCCATCGCTGTTAGCCACGCCCCAACCTAGTGACGTCCTGAGACCCCGCCCCACCCTGAGGCCCCGCCTCACCCACAGATTCTACAGACCTACCCAGGCACCACAAAGCTACTTTTACATATGAATGGCCTATATTGAGGCAGCTTAACCATATATAAACTGCAGCTCCAGCAACAAAACCGCCAAGTCCCAAGCAAACAGGAGAAAACTAGTTTTTGCAGTAGCTCCTGCAGGGTAGCTTCAGACAGTAACTGAACTGAATCCCATTGGAGATCCAGAAGCCAGTGTTCCTAGTGGTCAATTTCAACCCCTCACACCCATATGTGACACATTCGGGAGACGGACTCAGTGAGCACCAAAGCCCCACTGAAACAAACCTTGTCTCCAGCACAGCAGTTCTTCCTTCATAGACAGAGCGGGTCCTCACAGACAATTGGCCTGGAGATCAATTCCTCCCAGTGTACCAACAGCAAACAGGCTTAATGACACCAAGACTTTGCACTTAGCCCACAAAGGGATATAGCAAAAGCGACCACCCCAGGTGACTGGGGAAGCTGATAGGTCACCTACCACACAAAGCCACTCCATCAACACAGGGAGGAGACACAGAAACATGTCGCGAATGGAAGAGATGGAGGAAAGTAAACTACTGGACGACACAGAGTTCAGAATCACATTTATAAGGTTACTCAAGAATCTTCTAAAAGCTTTGAGAAACTTGATGAGAGCTCCAAGAAGCTTGGTGAGACCTTCAAGGACCTTAAAGAGAATACCAAAAAAATAAAAAATAATAAAAAATAATTTAAAAAAATGGAAAAGGACCAGTCAGAAATTAAGCATACAATCTCTGAAATAAAGAATATACAGAAACTCAAATATAGATCAACGTGCCCCAAGAATCAAACCAAAGATCTGGAATAAAAGAAAGAAAAAAATCATCCAACCAGAGAGGCAGAAAGAAAGACGAATCCAAAAGTGTGAGGATAATGTAAGGAGCCTCCAGGACTGCTTAAAACGTACCAACATAGGGATTTTTTGGGGAGCCAGAGGAGAGCGAGCAGGATATTGAAGGGCTATTGAAAGAAATAATGATAGAAAACTTTCCCTACCTGGTAAAAGAAATAGACTTACAAGTTCAGGAAGCACACAGAACCCCAAACAAGAGGAATCCAAAGAGGAACACATTAAGACACATCAAAATTAAAATGCCAAGGGCAAAAGACAAAGAATCTTACAAGCAACAAGAGAAAAACAGCTAGTTACCTACAAGGGAGTACCCATACGACTGTCAGCTGATTTCTCAACAGAAACTATGCAGGCCAGAAATATTCAAAACGATGAACAACAAGAACCTACAACCAAGATTACTCTACCCAGAAAAGCTATCATTCAGAATTGAAGGTCAGATTAAGAGCTTCACAGACAAGAAAAAGTTAAAGGAGTTCATCACCACCAAACCAGGATTACATGAAATGCTGAAGGGTATTCGTTAAGGAGAGGAAGAAGAAGAAGAAAAGTAAAGGTAAAAATTACGAACAACAAAAAGACATAAAATACATACGTACCAACAAGTGAATCTAAAAATCAAGTGAATAAAAAAATCTGAAGAACAAAGTGGACTGGTGAACATAATAGAATCAGGGACATAGAAAGGGATTGGACTAACAATTCTCAGGGGGAAGGGAGTCTGAGGGGTGAGGGAAGAGATTGGACAAGAATCTTACACCTATGGATGAAGACAGGGGCGGGGGTAAGGGCATGGGGTGGAGCTGGGAATCAGGTGGAGGGGAGTTATGGGGGAAGGGGGGAAAGAGGAACACCTGTAATAATCTGAAGAATAAAGATTAATTATTTTTAAAAATCA